TGAGCCAGGAAAAACCCTGACATCGTGATATTTACGCCCCTGTGACATTTCACCTTCAATCTGAACAAGAGAACAGAAGACTTAAAGCTCATATGCACTCTTCAGGATTCATCATATCCTCATCCCAAAATCTAAAAAACGTAATCCCACGTTGTTTATTCCTCTCATATCGTGCACATCAGGCCTGCACAGGAGTGTGTTCAGTCCAAAAACGACTTACAAAGGACGCCATCACGGATCAAAGTGAGCCCCAAACAATCATGTCCCACCTGACACAAAACGCCACGAGGCTGCAGCTGCAGTAAAAACACATGAAAGAGCTTTCCTTTCACATAAATCACAACCCTGATGAGAAGTGATCAATCTGAGGCCAAAGTCTCACATGCTAAACCACAAAGGACCAAAGAAACACCTCATTGAATCGATACTTTTTAAATGTCTGCAGAACTTTTTTTAATTTATGTTTTGCACCTTTAAGCAAAAGATCATTAGACAACACTTTTCTTCATCCAGCACCAACTTCCCCATGTTCCACATCAGGCGCTAAGAAGCTTTTCCAGCCACCCAAGCTGCTTTAAAAAAAAATCATAGCGCGTCTTATGAGGGGCGTTTGGCGGCTGTTCACCGCTAAGCCTTGTACACACACATGAACTTGGAGATCCTCTGCAGTGAATAGCTGACCTAAATCTCAGCTTCTGAATGAGCTGTGGGAGAGAGAGAGAGAGAGAGAGAGAGAGAGAGAGAGAGAGAGCGTTTCTGTCACACCTTTTCATTTTCAGAGGGGTAGACGCTCAGTGAAGAAAAGAGAAATATCACATGATCGTTCAGCGAGCTCTGCAGATGAGTAATCCTAACAGGATACATTTCAAATGCCCTTCAACACAGCTGAATTTAACATGCCCGCTTCATCTGTGCATGTTCTCCAATGTAATGGATCTGCTTCTGCTGGAGCGCCGGATGTCTCGGGGAACAATCTTTAACAACCGAGGAGTCCAAACGAGCCGGCCTAAATATGACTCAGTCGCCAGCGAGGTTAGCAGAACTAGCTACAACGTGTTTTAAAATGACACACAATGTCTATTCTAAGGACAGTAGTGTCGCTTTTTGAACCCAAAGCAGCTGAGGTCCAATCAGATTCACAGGTCAGCGAAATCCTGACGTTGCTCAAGTCCTTTCGGCGCCTCATGAAGAAGCAAAGTGTCACGTTTATGTCTCGTACAGCAGAGGAGGAGACAGTGTGTTTGACATTCTGCACGAGTTTGCTTTTCCATTTTTTGGGATGATTAAAACGATAAATTGCCAAATATTTTGGGGGGGCGATGGTATCGAAACAAAAAGCCTTTTCAAAGTGGAATTCCACCAGAAAGCACCGCCGTCATTACCCCGTTAATATGGACTCCTTAACGGTTTGATATTGGTGTGAAGTCTGAGTTTACATTGTGTTGCTCATGCAGAGGCACGAGAGAGCGCAGCACAGCGGGACCTAGCAGCTGATTTTTTTATTTTGACGAGTTTCAAAATAAATGATTCATTTTCTTTGGTAAATTCTGACTCTCTCTCTCTCTCGTCTTTTTCCATTACTCACGAGCCGGGGTTATGACAACAGGGTGGTTGTTGGTTGATTATTTTGTCCAATAAATGTCAATAATTAAATTAATGACAAGATTTGTTTTTAAATTGTTCCACTTCACCACCGCTGCTCCAACTCCAACCTTTAGAGGAAACACTGGACAACACTGTTCTCCCCCGATCTCATCTCGTCTCTGTTACCCCTCTGTTACCCCTCTGTTACCCCTCTGGAGGCGTAATGAGGGGGGGATCACTACGTCCCCCCCATTACGCCTCCAGGACATTCAGATTGAAGGCGAGACGCCACAGGGACGTCAACATCTCGACCTTGAAACAGCAGTCTGAATAAGTCGAAGTATTATTATAGTTTGACTTGTACGAGTATATCAACATTTATGAAAAGACTCTTTAATGTCTAATAACAGGCAACAGGGTTACTCAGAAAATTTCACTGTAACGGGACAAAATGGCGTCTCAGGTGTGCACTGACACACCTGCTTTCTTACACATTCTACCACATGTTTAAACTATAACAGCTTTTATCCTCGTCATTCAGCAGCGTTCACCAAATCTTCTTAGACAGACACTCATTCATGCAGTTTTCAAAAGGATCCTGACGGGGCGCCACAGGTTGGCTTAGCTGTTGGTTTGCACGCCAAAGTACAAGACGAGGCTGTTTTCCTCGAAGCAGGAAGTTCAGGTTGAACTCTGACCTGCGGCTCCTTTCAGGACGTCATGTTTAGTTTCTCTGTTTGTTGTTTTATCCTTAAAGTTTGTTTGATTTTCTGAGGTACACAGAGATCTAAAGATTTAAAATACTGCAGATGTGAAAGTACCAATAGCTTAGCGGTTATGTTGCACACTGCATGTAAAGTGGTTGAGGGTTTGAATCCCACCTCTGCCCTCTGCTGCATGCCATCCCCCCCGCTCTCTCTCCTACCAACGTTTCCTGTCTCTCTTCAGCTGCCCTCTCCAAAACAAAATCCTATTCTGAATCAAATTCAGCCGTCAGCAGAAGAGAGAGAGCGATGTTTAATTGCTGACATGTTGCCAAAGTATCTGTGCACTTCACAAAGTGTACAGGGTTTGGCCTGCATTTTTATTTAGGGTAATAAAAAAACGTTTCTGTGCCCACTGGACTCATATTTTTGTTTCTGTGACTTGAAACAGATATTGATATATATCTTTTATTTGTACTAGAATAAAATAGAAGCTTAAAATTCTGGTATTGTGACAACACGGGTTGCCAGATCAGACAATCCAACGCCCCCCCTTTCAGGCGACTTTTAAAAATACCATGCAGTGTAAAGACTGTTTTGGCTGATTTGCATATCTTGTTATGAAAGCTATTCTCGGAGAGGATGCAAGCCAAGTCAGAAAACGAGGTCATAATGGTGTTTAGGGAAAAAGGATCGAGAGAGAGAGACAGAGAGAGAGAGAGAGAGAGAGAGAGAGAGAGAGAGAGAGAGAGAGAATAACTGATTCCACGTTGAATAAGCTGTGGACTCTACTGCTGCTCCAGCTGTGAGGCGGCCTTCAGCTCATCTGGCCAGCAGGACGACGTCCAGCTGCTGCTTTATGGTTAGCGCTCTCTCTCTCTCTCTCTCTCTCCCTCCCTCTCTTGCTCTCTCTCTCCCTATCCCTCTCTCTTGCTTTCTCTCCCTCTCTCTCCATCTTTCTCTCTCCCTATCCCTCTGTCTTGCTCTCTCTCCCTCTCTCTCCCCCTCCCTTCCTCTCTCTCTCCCCCTCTCTCTCTCTCTCTCACCCTCTCTCTCTCTCTCTCTCCATCGTTCTCTCTCCCTATCCCTCTGTCTTGCTCTCTCTCCCTCTCTCTCCCCCTCCCTTCCTCTCTCTCTCCCTCTCTCTCTCTCTCTCGCCCCCACAGTAAGTAGATAAACAAATAAATAAACCAGCGTGCTGCCAGCGCTGTGTGTGTTCCCAGACATGTTTACTTACAGCACAGTAAGTGTGTGAGTGACATATGATGAGCACAAACAGAATCCCTCTCCGTCGCTCTCAAACACACAACTTCACCAAAAGCTGCTGCGAAAATCGGACTCCTGATGAGCTCATTGTGCGACGCAAATCAACACGAGAATCAGAGAAGAAGAAAATCTGACTCTAAGTGAAGCCAAAGAGATGAAGCAAGAGATACTTGCTTATGTCAGCTGCACTTTATTCCATGTTAGAGTCTTCTGTTTGCTGATTCAGCTGGTTGGGGGAGACTCGTATCATGCCCCACATGTTTCATTTTTTAGGATTTGAACGTGAGCAACTCCTTACTGCTCCCTCTCAGATGTAAAAAAGTGCAGCAGCAATTACTTTTAAATCCATTTTTAATGCTCATTCCATCAGGCGTTTAATTTTTTTGCAGCTTTCAAATTCTATTTAATGTTTTACCATGAATACCAAATGTTCATTTTCTTGCTTGAATATGAGTGTTCATCGTTCATTCTCTCTGTCTCCCTGTTTCTCTCTCTCTCTGTCTCCCTGTTTCTCTCTCTGTCTGTCTACCTGTTTCTCTCTCTGTCTCCCTGTTTCTCTCTCTCTGTCTGTCTCCCTGTTTCTCTCTCTGTCTCCCTGTTTCTCTCTCTGTCTGTCTCCCTGTTTCTCTCTCTCTGTCTGTCTCCCTGTTTCTCTCTCTGTCTGTCTCCCTGTTTCTCTCTCTGTCTGTCTCCCTGTTTCTCTCTCTGTCTGTCTCCCTGTTCTCTCTCTGTCTCCCCGTTTCTCTCTGTCTGTCTCCCTGTTTCTCTCTGTCTGTCTCCCTGTTTCTCTCTCTGTCTCCCTGTTTCTCTCTCTGTCTCCCTGTTTCTCTCTGTCTGTCTCCCTGTTTCTCTCTGTCTGTCTCCCTGTTTCTCTCTGTCTCCCTGTTTCTCTCTCTGTCTCCCTGTTTCTCTCTCTGTCTGTCTCCCTGTTTCTCTCTCTCTCTGTCTCCCTGTTTCTCTCTCTGTCTCCCTGTTTCTCTCTCTGTCTCCCTGTTTCTCTCTCTGTCTCCCTGTTTCTCTCTCTGTCTGTCTCCCTGTTTCTCTCTCTGTCTGTCTCCCTGTTTCTCTCTCTGTCTGTCTCCCTGTTTCTCTCTCTGTCTGTCTCCCTGTTTCTCTCTCTGTCTGTCTCCCTGTTTCTCTCTCTGTCTCCCTGTTTCTCTCTCTGTCTCCAGTTCATCTGTTTCTAGTGAGTCAGTATCAAATAATAATAGGTGACACAGAGATACCAGGATTACTACGTTTGTAATGTTTCTTCCTTAACCTGTACACTTCCTCTGCAACAGATTCTGCACTCATGTCTTTTTTGGCATCATCATCCTGAGCCGCCTCCTCCTCATCATCAGCCTCAGCCGCCTCCTCCTCATCATCATCCTCAGCAGCGTGTCACAAAACATGACGAAGACTCTCCCACACTGCAGGAAACATAATCGCCTGTGTCATCCTCACCTCACACGTGTTGTAGTCCTCAGAATCCAGCAGCTGGCAGAGTTTAGGCAGCAGCTCGGGCCAGTTCTGTAGCTCTCCTTTGGAGGCGATGGTGGTGATGAGGATACCTGTGTGTGAAGGGTTAAAGGTTAGAGACACCAGTGTGACAAAACAACCAAGAGCTCCACATAGTATCGATTGAAAGAAATCTCAGAGCATGAATAAATCAGACTTTCTGCTTCTCTGTTTTCTTGAGAGGCATGTCATTGGGTGAGAGGCGGGGTGACACCCTGGACTGAACGCCAGCCAATCACAGGGCAGACATATAGAGACAGACAACCAGCCACACTCACATTCACACCTACGGGCAATTTAGAGTCAGCAGTTAACGTAACGAGCATGTCTTTGGACTGTGGGAGGACGCAGGAGAGAACCCACACAGGAACGAGGAGAACATGCAGACTCCACACAGAGAGACTCCTGTCAGACGGGGATTCAAACCAGGAACCTCCTCGCTGTGAGGGGACATCGCTAACCTCTGAAATACTCTTTCCTTAAAGGCTTTATATGTGATTTTCACACTTGAATGTAGAAATCAAGTATATCCTCTGAAAATAACTCTGTGAGTCATGACTGTCTACAATGGGTGTAACACCTGAGTCCCACTGTCTGTGATGTTTTCAGAGTTTTCAGAGTCCTATCTTCACTTTGTTTACATCGCCGGGACGGCCGGCTGACTCCTCCCCTCGTGTATAAAAGTTGTTTAATTGAGGGTCTAGAGAAAAGAAGAATAACATACTGTACTCACTGCTTAACTGTGTTTCTAGATCACGCTCATTTCAGGTAAATTTACATGCAGTGTGAAGATACCAGCATAATAAAGATCGCTAGCATTAGCATGCTAACACAACAATGCACGCGAGTTGTTTTGTTTCATGCTGGTGCTCAAGGGCGACATCTGCTGGATCAAAAAAATCACATATAAAGTCTTTAAACCAGAAGAGGGCGCTATCTGCTGAAAGATTATGCATTGTTTGATTAGTAACTAGACAACCTCACATTTACACAATATGACTTTTAATCTATTTATAAAGACAAATAAGGAAAAGGGATTCTTTGCATTTGAGTTGTCGGAGAGATAAGAGCGTGCTGCAGACGACGCAGAGAGGATTGTTAACTCTGGAGTCACGGTGGGTGAAGAACCTGATAACAGAGCTCAACTATAATGCAAACTGGATGACTGAATATTCATTTTAAATTTAGGTCAAATAATGCAACTATATTCTGAAAATGAAAACTTGTTTCTGTTCCTGTATTTTCATTTTAAAATTAGCAATTTCATTTGAATTATGATACAAATTTATCGGGGCATTTTTTTAAAAATGTCATTTTCTTCTTCATTTTAATTTAGTCAAAGAATGTGCATTTTTGAAGCTGAAAACTAAAATGCAAATTAGATAAATTAGTCATAATTTTATTTTTGAGTCAAATAATACACCCTTATTCTGAAACTTAAAAAGCATTTCTGTTAATGCATTTTCATTTTCAAATTAGCTTTATCATTTGAATTCTGATCACTAGTCGCTTCCATACACGAGTACTGATATGTCTGGAAAACACCCATAAAGTTAAGGTCGTGTTTATGCTTCTAAAGATGTGTTGTGTTTGAAGCCTGTCTCGAGTGGACTGATGCATATAATGCAAAAGTTTTATTCCTCTTAAACAGAAAAGTAATAAACTCGACCTCCAGAGACTCCATCTAAGGATTCATACACAACAGATTCAACGTTCAATAACAGCCACAGCTCCATATATTTTTAATTTCCTTTGTGTATTCGCGTTCTTCTAATCTGGTTCCTCTTATTGCGAGAGTTTTTTGGGGTTTTTTTTTTTAGATGAGTAAACAAATCTTAGAAAGCACGCCGAAGCATCTGTTGGACCCAGAGGTATGAAACGTACCGACGGTGGCCCGGATGAGGGGCGACGAGTCTCCGATGTTTTGGAGGCACTCGCTCTTGATGAAATCAGACACGCCGTTAGGGAAGTTCTGATAGTGGGCTTTCACATTGTTCTTCAGAATCAATCCACTCAGGGACCGCGTCGGTTCATCTGCGGGGGCGGAGAGAGAGAGAGAGAGAAACAAAAACAGGAATAAAAAAGGTAAAAAAGACTTTTAAGTTGAGGACAAATTTACTGAAAGAGACAAGAAACACAAAAACAGAGATTTACTTTAACTAAGAAGAAGCTAAAAAATAAATGCTGCAAAAACTTGTCCTCCTTCTAACTTTAGATTCTGATCCTGAATGCTCTGGATTTGTTTGGACCAGAGAAGGTTTGAAGGCGCCCTCACACGGCCGTTTTGGACACCCCTCGTTTACAGATATGAGAGCAGTTATCAGGTCAACAGGTGTTGCAGTGATGGAAGCGGGTCAAGAGAAGTGGTTCAGATAGAAGTGATTGTACCCGACCTAAAAAGCCTCTGCATGTTTCTAATAAGCTCCACGAGCAGAAACGTGCTCAAACTAGGATCAATGTTGGAGATGCTTTTGAAAAATGGAGAGAGGTTAGAACACAGAAAGGTTTACAGACCCATGCAGAGCTGGATAAACACTGAAGCTTCAGAGTCCACCACATGGTGACCTGACTCTGAGAGGAGGGGGGCAGCTCTCTACAATGTTTTGAATCTGGACTGCAGTGCCCATTTTAACCACTAGGTGTCAGAGTTACATACTGCACCTTTAATTGCAATTTTGCGTGTTATATGGCACCAAAAAAAATACTTTATGTAAAAGAAGCCACGCCCTCTCACTCCCGTCTTTATATTTTAACTAGAGGATGGATGCCTGGGTATAAAAGCTGTGATTCAAGATCCTTTTGATGCAGTCAGAGGAAGCTTAAGATAGATAAAAAGATACCCTCAGATTAATTGGTGCCAATTTAGCGGCCAATTTTTTGTATTCAGGAGAAGCATGTCGAACAGCAGATAGACATATTTGTTCATCACACCTCACATCATCATCCCAGTATCTATCAGTGTTATCACATATTTTTCCTCATAGCATGCAGCTCTAATCTGTTTCCTAAAATGTTTTAACATCACCCATAATATCAGCTACCCCCCCCCCTCCCCTCCGATGTTCAAGCCCAAGAGTCGAGAGTTGCCAAGAATTAGGGTTTAAAATTAGAGTGACCCATATTCTCAGTGCCACATCATCTGTGGTTGAAGATGGCATCGGGTCAGAGCCGAGTCACGGCCGACACAGACCTATGTTGACATGCCTGACGGTCACACTGTCGGCTACCACCAGGTGCTTTAAGAAAAACAGAGCAGGTATGACAAAGAGACAAACGGACACAGACAGACAGGCGGAGAGCTTACCTTCTGATTTTAACTTTGTCAAAACAAATATCAGGTAGTTGTTGAAGTCTGGGAACTGGTTCAGCTGCTCCAGTCTCTGTGGAAAAAGCGGTTGAGGAAGACAACTGTGCACTCAGCGTGTTAAAAAAACATTTAAAGCATATTTACGCTGCAATCGTTTCACAGCAAACACTTCCATGTGAGTATATAGATGCAGGTTTAGTGTGACCGTGTCACAGCATGTGTGTGTGTGCGGAGGTCAGCGAGGTCGTAAATATGTCATATGACGAGGCTTACTCCAGTGCGTCTGCAGCCAGATGGTGTGTTTACAGGCCCGTCTATGAGTTAATGATGCAGTGCATACGACGCGTTACATAAGCAGAATCTTACGAGGCTCAGCGTGCGGCCGGATAGAAAGCATACGGAGCAGCAGCGTGGAGCCGTGTGGATCACAACTGTTCTCTGTGATGAAGTACGAGGTGACTTCTGTTTTAACACCGAGGAGTTGATTTGACGTGCAGGAGCGAGACGAGAGACTCAGAAGTCTTCAAATTCAACACTAATGCGTCCTCTTTTCTACATTTCATTTACAGACAGATATGAGGATCTGTGATTCCTTTTGAGAAATACTAAAAGGATGAGGAAACTTTCATATCACCATTAATAGAACATTAGTATAACAATAAACTAGATCTGCTCTATAGTGATACAGCTATGAGGAATGACTCAAACGTGCATAAAAAGAAAGCTAGAAACATGATTTTATAACCCTTATAGAGGAGGGATATTTTTTAATCTATATTGTGGTATCTATCTATTTTTTTTTTATTATTTTTTTAAATTTAAATTGTGTATGTGTTCACTTTATGTTTGCAATCTTTGCTGCTGTAACCGTAAATTTCCCCGTTGTGGGATAAATAAAGGATTATCTTATCTTATCTTAATCCGTTATTGGTAAATAATTTAATCTAATTGTATGATTTATGGGGCGTCATTGTCTCAACCGGAAAGTCGAGGGTTTGATCCCCTGCTCCTGCAGCCACATGTCCGATGTGTCCTTGAGAAAGACACTTAACCTTTAAAATTAAATTAACTAATAAATACCTTCCTGCATAACACAACAGCGCAGTGCTGAGGAGCGCAACAGATGCTGAAATACACATTCTTATCAATTATGTTACTATGGCAACAGATGGGTGGGTTCATTTAAAAGAGGTATTTTACTGTATTTCAAATGTATTCACATATTAGTTCAACATTTTTTATTTAAAGGAAGAATGAGCCACTTTTTTTTTTGATCCAGTAGATGTTGCACTTGAGCACCAGCATGAAAACCAAAACCAGTAAACATGATGGAAACACGGCTGATTTCTGCCACTGTGCAGGTTTTAGTGTCAACATGTTCACAGTCTTGTTATCATCTTTACGGACGTAGTTTCACATTTTATACCAACGATCACGTGTAAAAATAATATCATGTTTATCTATAAGCTCGTTAAATACTCAACAGTGCAGCTGGTTTAGGAGATTAGGTTGAGGATGATGTTCTACAATGTTGATGCATGAATGAACGGGCTGTTAACTTCATTATTATTTCCACCGGAGCGTCATCGGGGTTTCCCACCCATTTTCAGCACTACGTCATTATTTTATTTCATCATTAACATCATTTAGTCCTTTTGAGAAACTCTGATGTGAAATCAGGAGAAGGTTTTCAATCATGCATGTAGCATGTTTAGCTTAAGGGAGATAAAAACACTAACTCGGTGTACTGTCAAATACTGCTACCCATCAAAAATGTGCTACCATGCCACTCTGTGCAAGACAGGGAGCATTATTTTGTCCATCAATATTAAACTTCCTACTAAAATCTAAACCAATTTTTTTTTTCATAGAGCACCAAAGCACAACTCCCGTTTTCTTGCTCCCAATGACAGTAGGAAACCTCCCTCAAGGGGCCCCCAAACCAAAGCTTGTCAATGAATGTCACCGAAGAAAACTGTAGAGGACTTTAGAGGCTGTTTTTGTGAGATTCAAAAAAAAATAAACACTGGAAGAGGAGAAAGCATCAGCTGGCAGACATAATGCAGATGAACACTGGTTGGAGGGGCCCCCCAGTTGATTTCAGACTAGGGCCCCGACAGACTCTAGAATCGCCTCTGGGGGGCCTCTCCGTTTCTCGCTATGGTTGCATTTTTCGACAGGGCAGCACCTCTCTGCAGAACACCTGCCTGCTTAACCTGCTTCTCCTAACGGTGCCCACCTAGGCTAGTGTTAGCAGGGAGCTAGCCTGTTGAGTCGACGTGATTATTACCGAAGAATAACAAGTTAATTAACGTGTATTAACGACATGAGGAAGGATACTTGCTGCACGGATCTTTGCGTGGACGTATCCGGCGACTGAGACTCCTTCAGCAGCTGCAGAATCTGTTGAAGTCCCTGCTCGTCTGGCTTCCACTCACACTCCATCTGCTGCTGCTGCTGCGAATAAAGAAAAATAACATGAAAGCTCAGGTTGAGGGATTTGACAGCGAACGCCTCACGAATACGTTGCACAGGCGAGAGAACCTGAACGTTACACGATACGGGTAGATACTGTAGTTTCGGATACAAGGAGGCGTTTACCTGTTCTTCCGAGTGTAGCTGTCTTTCTGTTGAGATGTGACCGTCTGTCTGGGCTTTCAGACATGGGCCTGTTACGGCAGGCACATCCGTTTTCGCAACAAGCTTGGGAAGAAGAAAAAAAAGCTGCGGGCCATGCAGAGCCGCGTCGCATATATGGGGGCTGCCGCGCCAGCTGACAAGCGGCTGCGCGGTCCTAGTGCGAGACGAGTACTGACCCAAAACATGCTCACAAAACCAGCATACCATCATTAATTATGATTTTTTTTTTTTTTTTACATATACGCAATCCGCCACTGCTCTTAGTAAGAGACAGAGTAGATACGAGAGAGAAAATACGATGTGTGATATGACAGAACAGGTTTAGAACAGCAACCGCGATGAGTAAACGGCACATTTCAGACAGCATGTAAAGGCAACACGGCTCGTGACGTCATCGTTATGGTCGAGACAGTTGATATATAATAAATAAATAAATAATATTTATTTATATTATATTTATTTATAGTTATATTATATTATATTTATTTGTTATATGTATATATTATAATATATATATATTATATTTATATTTATTTATATTATTAAAGAAATAAAAAAATAGGACATATGATCCCCCTCCTCCACCTTCTCAAACAGTCCCCCTGTGGTCTAAATGAAACATCTGTGCTGTGCTTTGGTCAAAATATAACATGAATCAAGCACCAGAGGAGGTTGTGACCCTGTATAAACCAGCTCTCTCAGAACGCTCCGTTTTGGTGTGTGTGTCTCTTTAAATGCAATGAGCCCCCTTTAAGAAATGCACAAACAAACTTATTAGAAGCTGTCTTTACAATAGCAGAAAAATATCACCACGATTGAAAATCATTTGCAACTCATTTACTCGACATTAACTGGCAAGAACGCTTGGCCCCTCCGGGCCTGAGCACGCTCACCTCTTGTACATACAGCAAATGTATTACGTGATCATGAAGCGTAGTGTACAAGGCAGGCAGACTAAAAGAATAAAAACATTTGAAGGGACACATGGTTGAGTCCACCTTCGCACGTCAGAGTACAACACAGATAATATGACTGAAACTTTGAGGCTTATTTTTGGTCATTTAAGCCAGAAACAGCCATAACTTTCTGGGATTTCTCAATAATGGAGGCGATTGATTGATTATACGGCCATCGATGGGCCCCCTGCAGATGGCTGGATGTCACTCAGGCTTCCTCCATTAATATTTACAGTCTATGATTCTGAACTGGGCTGAAAAAGAGGTGATTATGGGATGCTAGAATAAGATAAGATAAGATCAACTTTATTGATTCCCCATTGGGGAAATTTTGTTGTTACAACAGCTCAAAAAACAGGAATATATTAGCAAAAAAAACTAAAAGTAAAAAAAAAAAAACATATTTTACATGAATAAAGGAAGAAAAAGACAATAGAAATAGATTATATAAGTATATACATATAAGTGCACTATATGTACACTTCCAATTGTGGAATAGACAGTTATTATTGGGCGGCCGTGGCTCAGTTGGTAGAGTCGTCACCGCTCAACCAGAAGGTCGAGGGTTTGATCCCCTTAGGCAAGACACTTAACCCCAAATTGCTCCGGCTGCTTCAGTGGTGGTGTATGAATGGATTAGTGCTGTCCTTACTCTCTGATGTACGTCGCTTTGGATAAAAGCGTCTGCTAAGTGAACTGTAACACTGTATTATTAAAAACACACACAGTGTGAAGCATTATTGATTTTGAATCTCGAGGTGAAGATGCTAATAAAGATAAAGATAAACTTTATTGATTCTCCATTGGGGACATTTTTGCATTACAGCAGCTCAAGAAAACAGGAAACAGGAATGTAATTATTAAAAATAAAAATAGAAGTTAAAAATCAAACACATTGGGGCGCTGGAGGTGCAGTGGTTAGTGTGCACGCCCCATGTATGGAGCCTGTCGTCTCAAGCAGCCGGCCCAGGTTCACATCCCACCTGTGGCTTCTTTCCTGCATGTCATTCCTCTCTCTCTCTCTCCCTGATTTCCAACTGTCCTGTCTCTCCATTAAAGGGGAGAGTCACAAAAAGAGGCACAAAAAGCCCAAAAATAAATCTTAAAAAATCAAACGTATTTACATCAGTTAAATAAAAAAATACAATAACAAAAGGACATTTCATAAGACTCCCTGGTGGCGATACTTGGAGTGACGCCTGTTGGCCTGAATGGCAGGGCCAAAAAGTACTTGTCTAATATCTTATTCACAGCGGATCCAGGATATATGGATCCAGAAAGTTTGGGACATTTACCAAATGGAACAAATTACATACCAATTAAGACTCCAAAAAGAAACTTTCACAGCAAGATGGAGACCTGTACTGGCTTTACTAATGCAATAGAGAGTGTTGTTTAATTTGGGCGCAGACCATTTTTCCCTGGGGTTGACTTCACACCTGAACTTTGACACGTGATTTCTTTGAGTAGATTAGAATTTATTTCTTTATGATTACAACTTTTCTTTATGATTTTAATTTCTCCTCTACTTTTATGAACATTTATTTATGTACTTGTTTGTTTATGTGTATTATTGTGTATATGTATATTCTTTGGAGTGGACATTTTGGTTTGTATCTTACTTTTGTAATCTATTTCTGCTTAATATCCAAATGTAACTATACAGCTGGAAAAAGGAAAAGAAAAGAAAAGAAATATTTTCCATATTGTACTGTTGTTGATGAGAAAAATGAATAAAAACTAAGTTAAAAAAAATACTATAATAGAAAATTAAATAATTATAATAATTACAGGATCAAAATGTTTTGGTGAGCTCTGAGACTAATTCAAACTGATTGAAAAGGACGATTACTGTATATGTGACCTTTAAAGGTAAAATGTGAACTGTAGTGTACACTCCAACACAGTAGGTGGCGGTAATACACCTGCAAGGTGAGTGCCAACCGCCATAAAGCGGAAAAAAAAGAAAAATAGAAAATGTGTGTTCTTTGTTTCACCGCTAGATGGCGCCAAGCGGCAGAAAGAGCTTCAGATCCGCGTTGGACGTCAGATGAAGAAGTAAGCACTACATACAGTACGCTGCTGCCTCTCAGCGTACAGAGCAGCGTTCACTGGACCAGTCTACCTTTAAAATCCACATTTTTTATCTTATCTTTACGTCTATTTATTTCCTCTACTGTCGTTATTATTAGACTTGTTTTCTCCCGGAAGTTCTTTAACCGGAAGCGAAGAAGAAACAGGATTTAAATCATCTGCCTTCACTTTGATTCTTCGCTCATTTTTTGTTTTTTATCAAGAGTTATTTTTTTATTTTCAGCGTCCTGAGGAAACATGAGCTTCCTTTTGTAAGTTATTATTGTCCTTGTGTTTTTTTTTACATTCAGTGTTTTACTCTAAAAAGAAACATAATAGTGACTTCGCCTTTTCATGGCTAGCTAAGCGGCTAGCTGTAGCACAACACGGGCTGCGACTACTTCCTGAACTCACCTCTGAATCTATAATCTGATCAGCGCTGCTTTTCTCACCGTTATTGTGTAAAAACAACGCGTGAGTCGATTGTAGATGATAAATCACTTACACCTGGATGTGAAATGGATGTGACATTTAAGTTATTCGCGACATTAATGTGATATAATAGGTAATGTGTCTGAGAGGTGTTAAACAGCGGGCCCGGCTATTTCCTGGTTGCTGGGAGCTAATCCTCCCCCCAGAGGACAGAAGAAGTTTATTTATGTCGCACATTTCAGCAACAAAGTGCTTCACCACAAGGCATCAAAAGCATCACAACAAAGGGCAGAAACACATCATTAAAAAGATTTAAATAATCATTAAAACAAAGAGAATAATACAAATAAACAAGTGAAACTGAAATATAAAAAGAGGGAGATGAAAAATAACATTTAGAAGTTAAGTGTAAAGCACACCTGCAGTTTGATGAACTGGACTCACCTGTGAGTCTCTAACCTGGACTCACCTGTGAGTCTCTAACCTGGACTCACCTGTGAGTCTCTAACCTGGACTTAGAGGTCTGTCTGCAATATGCATTTATTGATTAATACAAAATATATAGAAAACTGTCAAAACAAGTTTCTGTTTGTGCAGAAATGTCTCCAGCCTTTCTTCCTCTGGACACAATAATAAACAGGAAAAAGCTTAAGATGTTGTCTTAGATCAGGGGTGGGCAACTGGCGGCCATCGTCAACCCTCAATGTGGCCCTCAGGTCAATTTTTATATATCAAAACATGAAGAAAACATGACAAAATCTGCCATGAATTCATGAAAACCAGAAATATGTCCTTAATAATATTTGATCCCTGGTATATGTTGAGTTAATTTGAGACATAATTGACTGTGATCGTTTTTGTATTCTACAATTTGGCCCCCTGGTGGTGACAGTTAAATGAATGTGGCCCCTTGCTGTGACCAAAGTTGCCCATCCCTGTCTTAGATGAATGTTTATTTGCAACACAGTAGAAAAAAACTATTACATGATGAGAAACAGATTCATTTTAAGCAAAATGCTGTTTGTGTTTTGGATGTCTGCGGTCGCCAGAGTTATTCTACAATTCACTGAGCAGACGCTTTTATCCAAAGCGACGTACATCAGAGAGTAAGAACAACACAAGCAAGGATCTAGAAAAAAGGGAACAATGTCAGTAAGAGCAAACGATCAGCTTTGAGTCTGATTGGACACACAGGTGCTGACAGGAAGTGACCAGAGGCAAAGCACAACATTGAGGGCAGTTCTTGAGAGCTCTAATCAGTATAGAAACCATCTTATAAGTCGTCGTTATCAAACAAAAACCATCGTCATTACCATCATCATCATCAATAATATGGAGACCATCATCATTAAGTTAGTAGGTATTCATGAAAGAGCTGGGTCTTTAGCTTTTTCTTAAAGGTGCAGAGGGACTCTGCAGATCACATGGAGTTTGGAAGTTCATGTTCAGTTATGTTAAGTCAAAGTGGAGTCACAACACCAGACAAAGAAGGTTGGGAACCAAACCCAACATTTTCTTGTATTTTCTGACGATGTTAAAAGCTTAAATGTTTCATGAAATAATTAGCAGAAGATGAAGATAAATAACCAATGACTAGACCGACACCCAGCCCTCCTCTCTTACAGTTCTTGATTTATGACCAGTCCGTTTTCTGGGCATCTCCAACCTACTTAAACTTTACGTTTCAGTTTTCCAGCAGTAGCATCTAAATAAAGCCTCCTCTTAATGTTTACCATCGTGACTTTCAGGCTCGAGGATGCTGATTCATGTGATTAGCCACAGCTGACGCTTTAATGGTTTAATGCTAAGTTGATTAGAAGCTAGAGGAGAGGTTATGGAGAAGAGTTTACTGTAAGACCTCGGGTGTTAAACTCTGTTCTGCTACAAAATCTAAAAATATCTCCTGCCCTGTAAGGTGCTCAAAATGTTTAATACTTTTTGATACCACCACATGTTTTTAAAACGATAGAGCCGATTAATGATCGACAGTATTTTAAAGTACCGAAGATTTAAGCAACTAAAAATCAGACTCGGCTCTCAGTCACTACTTTATATATTAAAATAAATAAATAATCTTACTTTATTGTAAGTGAACAACGTGTTTCACCTGCTGCTTCCTCAGGTTCACCCAGCATCCACACAGGTGTGGTAATACAAATGGTTAGTTTTCGTTTGAGGCTATGACCCAGAATGATGTTAATCGTGATGACTGGTCATGTGATGTTACGCTGGGCGATCCTGAGGAAGCTTCAGGCGAAAAACCCGTTGTTTGCTCACAACAAAGTCACAGTAGAGTTATTTCCAGTGTGCAAGGGATTATTGATTTATTTTTCATTGTATGTTCCTGCAACCGAGCGGCGCCTGAGAGTGTAGGTTGGCTGTGCGGGGAACCCAGTTTGTCATTTACTATTTTATATTGCGTTTGAGAGCTTCTGTAACGACCACATTTCTCCCCGGGATTAATAAAGGGTCTCTGATTCTGAGAACTACATCCATGTCATAAGACCGGTGCGTAGGAGAGAAATCAATAAATCAAAAATAGCTACCAAAATGTTGCCAAAGTGTTCAATTTGGAAAGAGTGCAGGAGTTTGCCTGCAATTTTTTGACCTTTTGATAAACAGGAAATGATCTTATATTGGATGCCTATCTTCTATGTTTTTTGTTGTGGTATTGAAAAAGGAAGTTTACAGTTCTGGTAACATGAGATTTCCACTGCCAAATCAAATCAAGTCAATCTAGTAATGTTGGATTTTCATATGTGAATTTGGTTTTGCGGACGTAAATCCTCTGATTTGAAAAGAGGACTGATTAGAGCAGCATGTCGTGATGATGCCTCTCTGAAATTCCTGTTTAATGGGCCGGTGTGGGATTGTGTACAGCACCTCTCCAAATGGCCTCATTAAAGACACAGAGAGACCCAGTGTTCTGGTCCTTCACTGTGATTCTTCCAAACTCCAAGAGCTCAACTCTTTTGTCAGCTTGTCTTTAAAAAAAAAAAAAAAAGAGAGAGAGAAAAGATTCTGTCCCGTTCTAGGAAAAAACTGAGTTACAAGAACGGGGAACGCAGGATTTGTCACCATCACATCTGACTGATCTTCCTTATTTGTCAACTTGTCTGTTCTTCTTCTTTTTTGAAATATGACTCACAGTGGAAACCGTTCAGCCCGGACGTTCAAGCCCAAGAAGAATATCCCGGAGGGTTCTCATCAGTATGAGCTGTTGAAACATGCCGAGGCTACGCTGGGGAGTGGAAACCTGCGCATGGCTGTCATGTTGCCTGAGGGCGAAGACTTGAATGAATGGGTTGCTGTCAACAGTAAGCTCCAATTTTACCTCCCCCCACCCTTACTACTACACACCCTTCTAGGTTTAGATTCCTGGTAGGCTAACCTCACCTTAACAAACCTTTTTATGCTAAAAACACGGTCACATTTAGTCTTTCATATTTACTTTCTTCTCAGCTGTCCTCAGATCTCAAATTGCCCACATGTCAAAAATCGGCCGAGGTAGAACATCAGGGTGTAAGGTATTGGCATCCCCTCTAAAGGCTGTGTCCATTCATGCTGGGAAAACCCCTGTGAATGTTAAATAGACCTTATTGTCTGTGCTGCTGGAGCCTTGTTTGCCTTCCTCTGAATGTAGACAAATGGCCGGTCAGTGAAAGAGTAATGTCCTCTCAAGTCAGAGTGTCCTTCAGGGGTTTGGGATGTGCAGTGACTCGGCATATTCACAACTGAACAAAGCTTTAGTTTTAAAAATCTAAATGAGTTTTCGTAAGGATTTGATTTGAAGTTATTTTCCCCCTTTGTTTTTTAACTCTCATGCTGCACTTGGAGTCTGATGAAGTGAATCAGAGTTGACTTTGATGGATTATATTGCATGGTTGTTCTTTTTTATACATTTTAAAAAGTCTTTCAAACACCAGACACTTAAAGGAATAGTGACAATAAGTGTCCAGTGTGTTTCCACAGTGTTTACAGATAATGTTTACTCAGCAAGTTCACACATGTTTAAGCTTTTTGGAGTGTGCTGTAGAGATAACTTCACTCCCTTGTTGCCGTGGTGATCCTTCTATTTCTATTCATGAAAAGGGTTGTAGAAACAGATGGATGTTTTAGCTTGCACAATAAAGGGAAGTTAGAATGACCTTGTCTTATTACATAACTCATGGCCTTTGTTCTAGTCGAGCTGTCCCTTCTATTGTTGTGCATTTTTGATCGTGATGGTTAGTGACAGTAACGGCGCTTATGACATGCAGCAGGGGTCTTTTGCCAGAACCCAGTGGGGAAGGTTACATGTAGAGGGTAGACTGATACTGGTTTCGCTTTATTATTATTTGAAATGAGTAATTCTCGTGATCCAGCTGGTTTCTCCTGAGCATCTCTTGATCTTTTGTCTGTGTTTTTCCTCAAATGCACAAGAAGAAGAGAAACAAGAAGAGAGAATCACTCTCATGATTCCCCCGCCGGCCTCGATGTCATCTTTTGTTATTGTTTTGATTAAGAGCCCCCTGGTGGCAAAATTCACAAACTGTGCGTTGACAGTCAGAAGTTGTTTTTTCAGTGCATGTGTGAAAGCATAGGCGGAACAAAAAATCATGGTATCTTCTGTTTTAAAAAGGGTACCTTCAACATCTAACTTAATCGACTTTATCTTCACAAACGTTTGGACTTTGTAAACCTGACCAAACACTAAAAGGGATGTATTTTCTTCTCTGCGACATCAGCAATTGAAACACCCACAATAACTCTGCCCACGCTTTAAATGGATCTGTCAAACACATGGAAGCAAAACTTGGCTGTTTGCCCTTTCAAAATGAGTGATAACTCAATTTGCAGATAACTGGAGTGTGTCCTGGTCTGCTGCTAGGAAACTTGATGCCAGCTTATTTCCGTTGGCACAGATGGTATTTTCTCTCATCTACTCTTCCTTTGATAATGTTGTTTTGTTTTCTTTTTCTCCAGCTGTGGATTTCTTCAACCAGATCAACATGCTGTATGGCACTATCACAGATTTCTGCACAGAGGAGAGCTGTCCAGTCATGTCTGCTGGTCCCAAGTAAGTTTATCACAGTCACACTTGGTCCCCCCTGCTGCTGGGCTCATTAGCTTCTCAGTGGATGCTTTACTTGAAATTATCGCTTAAGTAAAACAGAGCTCATGAGATTTAGATTGAAAGTAACCAGCAATGAAAAGAGAATTCCGGTATTTGTAACAATTAGCCCTATTTTTTAGATATTTGGAGTCTACATGAACAAAAGGATTGCTTCAGCTGGCCGCTGCCAAACAGGCTGTGTGTGCTGCAACTTAATCTACTCTTGGCAAATGCACCAGATCAAAGTACATCCACTAGAAGTGGCTGTTTTGCCCACCAATGGGCTCTGATTGTTAATAAAACTGTATGCCAGAATTACAGTAAGGGCGTTAAAGTACAGTTTTAACCATAAACGGCTGCTTTCATATCCACCAGATTCCACATTTTGGATGTTTTGGATCATAGATAACCAGTTTAAACACCAAAGTCACACGACAATACAACCCCAACAAGTTTTTTCAGCAGTTTGAAGAACTCACACATCCTCTGGGGTAATATGACCCCAATGTTTTTCTGATCAATGGAGACTGGTGGCTGTAAAGAGAGTGTTTCTAGTTTAAAAAATGGCAACACTCTTCCAGTAATCAAAGCCTCTCTGCGGCAACAACAAGAACTTTTAGTGGACGTTCTTTAACTGGGCACCTTTGCCTGCAGGATTTAGTTGAACCCATCCAGTGCTTTACTTCAACAGCCTCCAAACCACCAAATGTGGGTGGATTTCAGCAGTGGTGTGCAACACAATCACTCCCATGAGCACATCCTGCACACATCGTTTGTTCATTGGTCCATTCTTGAAGCCGATTGCCTCCAATTGCATGCTAGGGACCGAAGTCACTGTACTTCCTGTGGTGAACATGGTGGCGACGTGAAAGGGGAGGAGCTAAAAGCACATGAATGGTGGAACGATTTCACCATTTAAGAGAGAAAACCTGACGATGAAACTGAAAAGGAAGAGGAGACAAAGAAAAGACAAGACTGTTCAATCAAAAGTGGAAGTCAAGTTGAGATTTGGTTGTGCACAGCGGTCATTTTAGCATGCTTAGTCAACGTTAATCATATAAAACATTATTTCCCAATAACAAAATTGTGGCTAGTGAAAATGCTGAGTGGCTTGTAATTTCTGGGAAACCCCTAGCCACAGTGGCAAAAAAGTGAATGTCAAGCTCATGTATGGCAGTCTGCTGGAGAAATCCCAAAACTTTTGTACCGGATCCAGCCATCTAGGATCTAATGTTTATTTGTTCTGCCTTTAGGTACGAGTACCATTGGGCCGATGGGACCAACATCAAGAAGCCCATCAAATGCTCTGCACCCAAGTATATTGATTACCTCATGACCTGGGTGCAGGACCAGCTGGATGACGAGACCCTTTTCCCTTCCAAGATCGGTAAGCGCTGTGTCCGTTATATCAAACCCATCAGTCTCTCTCTCTCTCTCTCTCTCTCTCTCTCTCTCTTTAATGTGTCACACTGAGGTTTCTATCAGTGCTCTAAAGTCGATGACATTTCACATTTCTTCTGTGAGAAATGTGAAAAAATGTGCAATGAAAAGTTGTGTGTTACTACGAAGAATAAAAACACTGAAGTGAAACTGCCATGCAAAGTGAATGGAAGTTAAAACTGATAAAATGTAAATCAACTTGTAGACATTCTCCTTTGTGATTTTGATCACATTTCTGAGCTTGAAATGTGAAGGGAGGTTTGTGTGTCATGTGGAAAAATAAACAGGCCTATTATTAGCGAAGCCTTCGGGGGAGATCATCCGACCTATCAGCAGGAAAGCACATGAAAATAATGTGTCTTTGTCGATTTGCATAACCAGTGGTAACATATTCTATAAACACTTCCAGATGATGGTATCATGAATTTACTTTGGTTAGCAATGCACAGGGTCATTAAAAAGGAGTTGGCATTTGCATACATGCCAGCAGAGAGCTCAACCTCCCAACCAGCTGAGGCCTGTGCTGTCACGGGTTTGAACCCTTATAGAGCTGGAAGGCAGCCAGCTCAAATACTTGTCTCGTTTGTGCCTCAGTACATCTCCATGGAGGGAGCTAATGAATGAAGATGCTCCGCTGTGAAGAGTGGTATCTTTTTCTTTTTTGGGCCTTTTGCCTCTAATGGATGGGACAGCTTAAGAGAAACAGTAAAATGTTGGGAGAAGAGAGTGGGGGGGGGGTGACATTCAGAAAAGGGCTGAGGTCAGATTGGAACCCACAGCTGCTGCTAAGAGGACTATAGCCTCTGTACATGGGGTGCGCAACGTAACCGCTAGGCGACCCAGGAGTGGTACATTTTCATGCAGCAGCTGAAACAAAACGTCTCATTTACTGTCATTAAGAAGCAATCAAAAAACCTACAGCGTGTCTTTTAATTAGGGATGTTCCTGGAAACTAATTTCAATGCCGATTAAACACAAAGTAGAAATTTTGACTGGTTGACTCGTCCTTCTACACAAAACGGCCGAGCACAGGATCACATCAATTGGTTTTGCTGAGTGTGAAAAACATTAGCGATGGTAGCCTTCGGTTCTCCTTGCATGTAAACGTCCACGTACTTGTGCTGAATGTGGTTGTACCTCAGTCTAACCGGACACAGTCTACATACAGCAGTCTCCATTTTCTGGATCAAAATACTGCCAAACTGCTCCTGCGAGATCCCCTCCGTCCACTGTGCTGGTTTACATCCAGGCAGTAGAGCGGGGAGTAGACAGCCCCTTAAACAGAGCTACAGCCCCGACTAGTGGCAGATGGCTGCGTTACAGCTTGGACACGGCATTTAACCAGCATTCAGTGCCTACATTAATAAAAATATTAATAATAACTTTAACCGACTAGTATTTCTGGTGCTAACTAGTGAGGGTTTCAACATTTAACCATTTAGTCCTTCAGCTAAATTTAGAAATATCTTATCTTGAATTATGCTGTAGCTTTCTGTGCTCTTTTGCAAGAAGCTGTCAACAAGGTTTCTGTGACCCATTACGGCTGGCTCAGACCTTCACGACAGTGGTGGGGTGTTCCAGACTGGGGGCTGCTTGGAACCAATTATTTGCCCAGATTAGTTTGTTTTGTGAGTGGTATACGCGAGGCCCTGTGAGGTGGTGCGTTCCTCCTCTGGGCACGCTAATCTTAATATAAACCAGCAGTATGTTTTGTGCAATTATTTTCATATCATGTAGTTTGTGCATGCTTGAGATTATAGAGAATATCTATCTCTCTCCTCATGTGTGTGATAAATTGTGTAGGATTTAAAAACTGTTCAGGCTTTACTGTGCACTGAGTCACTGGATAACTGCTCCTCATATCTGGAGAGTGGAGAGAGAGCAGCAGTTCTGTTGGAACAACTTCACACCTTTCTAACTACAGATGAAAACAGCGTTACCATGGAGTTGTTCCCTGCCACAGTCCAGACAGTTTGCACTTCCCTGAAATCGTGCCGTGGCCTGCCTGTTAAGAAATCCAGAGAACGTGCTGGAGCTGCTGCTGCCTTCATTTGCTTTCAGAGTTTTTGCGGTTTGTTGGGATGAACAGGGGAAATGGAGAGAGAAGGGGAAAAGTCATGCACAGCTTGAGAGATTTGTTGGATGAATTTTTTGGCTGCTTCTTTTAATTTCAGTCGGTCGTTCTTAATCTTAAGGGTCCCTTTATGGCCCAACACCAAAAGGACTCATTGTCAGGAAACTGATCAAACTTTGAGATTAAATCATTCTAATAATAACATAATGGTTTAGTGTCAGGCCATCATCACTCTCTGTCTGTACCATGGACTGTATAAAACATGGACGTGGTAACAGTGACGTCACCCATTGGTTTTTGAAAAGGTGTTGTGAATCCCAACAATGGTGTTTGCCACATTGGAAATGCTCGCTCCAACTAACCTCTGGCTATTTTAAAGATCATATTTGCCCTTTTGGGGTTCTTTATATTTAATCTATGTTCCTACTTTTGTACGTTCACAATAGTTAAAGTTATAAAAAGTGTCTGTTTTCATGAACTGCTCCTCCTTGCTCCCTCTACGCTCTGAGTCTGTCAGCTACACTCTGCTGAGCCCACACTGTTAGACCCCACGTGGGTCAAGTCTGCTCTGATTGGTCTGCCGATCCGCTCTGTCGTTATTGGTCAGTTGCTCAGCACGCGTCTGGAAATTCAACATGAGCTGCAGGGCCACAACGAGCCAATGGACTTAGATCAGTGATGTCACACTGACAATGACGCGGGGGGCTAGAACCGAGCGTTACATGCGGCTAATGCTACAGCTAACAGGAGGACGTAGGAGAAGCCTGCCTAAACATGCACAGGACACTTGGAAAACACACTGAAGAGCAGATAAAACCAGAGAAAGCATAATATGGGACCTTTAAAAACAGGCCAAGAGTTGGAGATGAGGCAGATCTGAAGCCTCCTGGCAAACTGCTACAACTCGCCAACCATCCTGTCAGTCAAATCAGCCACGCCCCTAATTATGCAAAACTCAATATAACCTCCTAATGCACAAAGAAATTAGCAAAAGAGACCAAAACTGAGTTTGACCCAGGCTGTAAACATGTTTATTTCAGCTGTAGAAAATACCCTTTTTTTAATATGAACTCTGATCAGGATTTACTCATTTCTGGAGCCAGCCTCAAGTGGACAAATGAGGAACTGCAGTTTTTTTGCACTTCTGCATTGCCTTTATTATTTCTGCTGTAAAAATGGACTTTTATTAGGTTTAATTTTGGGTGTTTTATGCCTTTATTTTTTAAAGATATGCCAGTGGATAGTCAGATATTAGGGAGAGGGATTGTAAGGAATGACATGCAGGAAAAGAGCCACAGGTCAGATTCCAACTGTGGCCCCCCGCTTTGAGGACTTTAAGCCTTCCTGCATGGAGCGCGCACTGACCACTATGCTAACGGTTCCCCCCCAAAATTGGACATGTTAAGAGCTCTGATGGGGACTGACTTACTTACTTGATCAATCGCACTCTGCAGTGCTTTTATTTTTTAAGGCCAATCACATGAACTTTGTCCACAGCCAGCAGGTGTGCTCTCCTGAGTGTCAAACTGGAAACTGGGAAGGTCGTAAACATGATGGGAACTCTCTCAGGAGTTGGAAGCTAACAAACAGTCAACGGCTGCTCTCACTGTGTCCTGCTGAGTGCAGAGTGATAGTTACAACTTTGTTTTCTTGCATTGTGCACCTGGCATGGCAGCAGTCACACCTCCCTTTTATTATTGAAAGTTCAAAGATTTTGAAGCTGACTGCTAGCTTGTAATGCTAAACAAGCAGCTAACCAGAAACATGATCACCTGGCGTATAAACTTTTCTGTAAAATGTGATTATTACACTTATTGTGGCAATTGTGTTTTCTTTAACACAAGTTCCCAAACAATGCAGATGATGTAAGCCACTTCACACACGAGGGCAGCTGTGGCCGAGATCTGCTCCTTTTCTTGTTTGTGTTTTCAGGATTAGAATTAATCTAAACAGCATGCTTGTACTTTTATAATTGGTAACCCTGAAGGAAAGCCATTCTTTGAAAAAACTACTCTGACACCTTCCAGCGTTTGAAAGCTATTTTTTTTTTTTTTTTACAGCCTTTCTGTGGTCTGAAACTTTTACCAACCGCCTTGTCTTTTTGCGAGACGATCGCCTTGACATCTGAGAGAATGATCACCTGCACATCTGTTACTCTTGTAATGTTTTTTTTTATTTATTAATTGCTCTTATTTTCTGCCTCTTGTTTCCAAGGCGTCCCCTTCAAGCGAAACTTCATGTCTGTCGCAAAGACGATCCTGAAGCGTCTCTTCAGGGTCTACGCTCACATCTACCACCAGCACTTTGACTCTGTCATGCAGCTGCAGGAGGAGGCCCACCTCAACACGTCCTTCAAACACTTTATCTTCTTCGTTCAGGTAAAGAAGCTCCGACACTTTCAGGATCCTTTTTAGTTACAGGCGATGTCAGAAGGTTAAGAATCAAACTTTCAGTATCTGTGCCTGAGAAGAAAAATGATAAATCACAGTAGAAACATTTTTTTACAACTTGTGATAGAAATTATTTTTTTTTTTTTTTTTTAAATGTCATGGAGGTGTGATGAGGGGGACGGAGTAATCCCCTCTCTGTTCCGCATTCAGTAACCGAGGTGCAGGAGTTTTGTGCACAAAGTGCGTAATCAGATTTTTACTCTGTTTCCTTTTTCCTCTTTTTCAGGAGTTCAACCTCATTGACAGGAAAGAGCTCGTCCCGCTTCAGGAGCTGATTGAAAAACTGACAACCAAGGACAGATAAACAGCGATGTAACCTTAATTTTATTGGTCTTCTAGTTTTTTGCACAGATACCCCCCCTCCCCTCCCCCACCACCCTGGCTGTACGTATGCAGTATATACTATATTTCCATTTGGGGAAATGTTTTTAACAAGGCCAGGAAGAAGGAGAGGGGTCTTGATAGGTTTAAGGCACCAGGACTAATGCAATCAGGGATTACACTCGTAATGGATCCACAGATGAAATCTAACAGAGAGAGAATAGTTTTTAGCTTTATGGACAGATCCCCAGTATTCACTCACGGCTTACCTTTGGGATAATATAGACAAAATGATCTTTAGTTTTCTATCCTACCACACAGATATTCTTCTTCTCTCTTGGATTTCTGGACGCTTTTTTTCCTGCTCTCCTTCGATGTCGCTGTGGCGAGAGTGGAAGCCAGCCTTTTTAGCTCGTTATTTTTCACCATTAACCGATATCAAAGAAGCTGGGACGCCCGTCTGCTAGCCGCGATCGCCCTCACCTTTAAACACAGAATAATCCTAAGTGCCTAACATGGCTCGTAAACGCCCTATATCAACAGTGAGAACTGTGCGAACATAAAGGCCATACACACCGCATCAAGAAAACATTCAGTTTTACATCCCGCCTCCTCCCCCCTTTTTTTTTTTTGTTTTTTTAGTTTGTGGATGTTCTGCCCAATTTTCTATTTGTACTGTAACAAAACCTTCTTAACCAATCATATTAAGATCGTCTCTCGATGAAGTGTCATGTGCAGATTATGATCAATGAATGTGTCGGACATAGAAGCGAGGCGAGAGGATATTGTCACATCGCTAGCAGCAGGGACATTAAATTGAGTTTTCTAGCGACGAGTTTTCCTCCAAATTTTTTTTGAGTAGAGACGTTTTTAAAGGAGGAGTCTTCAAGGGATCTAAAAAACTTAAATTGTACATAAATGTCCGCCATGTGTGTTTAAAAAAAATTAAAAAAAACAAGCATTTTGAATTGGAGTCTGCTGCATCCCTTTGCTTATCTCACAAAGCCATAAAGCACTTTGAACAATGAGTCTTTCCTGACCTCTTTCTCGCCTTTGAATGTTTTATTCTGCGTAGGCCGTGCTTTGTGAGAAGTCGTGACTGATCATCGGTTTTTGTTCCCTTCCCGTCGCAATCCCCCCCCCCCAAAAAAAATGAATGTCGAGTTGCTTAACCTCCGCTGCGATTGGCTGCCACCTTTTTTTGTACGACGTGAGCAGATGCATGGCCCCGCCCCCTCCCCCGATCTCAAAGTGTAGTTTACTATGCAATGATTGACACTAAAAACAAGTTTACCCGTCGGCTCATACTTTAATATTCTTTTTTGGTGTGTGATAGAAATATAAAAAAAAATGCTTCTCTTTCACGATTGGTGAACGTTTTGTACATCATCTTCTGATCTGAAATCTGTCCGAGCGGTGTCAAACTTGAACGCACACATGTAAATACTAAAAAGGGTTGAGAGGAATTTCCAGCGCGCATGGAGTGGTAGCTTTTTTGGTTTAAAGAATGCATCGAGTCTTTTTCGAGGCTGCTTCCCCCCTCCCCCCCTTATTTGAGATATGATATATAGTTTGTTTTAACTGTTGAGTACTCCCCCCCCCCTTCTTCCTTAGCTAACTATTATGAATGTTACTGCTCACCAGATATCTGAAAGTGTAATAAATAAATGGGTCATCCTGAAAGCGTCTTATCGTCATGAAATGCCCGTAACATAGCCTTTTTTGCCTCCAGGTTTTTTCCTCCTCTGCTGTAAGAATTGATGAAATGTTTGTAAATAATGGCTTGGTAGGGGGTTTTCAATGCTACTGAATTGATTTATGCTGTTTACAAGGCAAATAAAGGTGGTCTTGACTCTTTGAATGAAGTGTGTCTTTATTGTGGAGACTGAACTCTGCAGCTAATTGTGATTTTTCTTCATTTTATTCCAGGTACTAATGTTGTTCAAATGTACAATAATGTTTGAAAACGAATTATTCTCCGTTGAATAAAGCCTCATTTCCAATCCAGCGGTCCGGTTCAGGTCGGTTCAGTACAATTTATTTGTGTTTCCACCGTCAAAAGTTGGGAAGGGTACCAAAATAACCGATCCGTACCGTCCTGCTTTTTTGGTTCCCTTCTGTTGGGGGGCCGAGCGTACCGATCCGACCCTGTAGGTGGCAGCGAGACACACTGCAGTCCGATAGCGTTACAAGTACAAACACAAAATGCACCATGTTTAAATATCTGGTGGATATTTAATCAGCCTTGCTCTAATGTTTGCTTGAAAGGTCACTTCATAAATCCTTCAAACGGGAGCTTGTTGGTGTGCGGATCTTGTTCGGCTGTCCTTACCTTTCATGGTTTTTTTGATCCAGCGCCCTCTATGGGATGTGCGTGTCTGTTGAGATTTTTCTGTGGCTGTACGAGAACTAAAAAAACAAATGTCTAGAAATTCTGAATATTTTCCCTGAATGTCTGGATTGCTTTTGGAGCTCATACCGAGGCAGCAGTATTCATTTCAGTCCATTTCATAACCAGCTGAAAAGTCTGCACAGGAGCTTTAAAATATACAACTAATACAGAAATCAGAAATACTTTATTAATCGCAGAGGGAAATGTGGTCGTTACACATGCTCCAAAATATACAACATAGCAGTAGAAATATAGCAATAAGATTACAACAGGTACAAGAAATACATTATTATTACACATTATCAAGATTATTGCACTTTGTTATCATGGACATATTATTCATTATTATTATCATATTGCAGTTTTAATAAATAATGAGTTATGGTGGAGGCTTTTACAATACATGTTTCCCTCTTTATTAAAAGAAGCAACATGCAAACAGTCCTAAAGCCATGCAATGGGGATGTTGTTCACGGGAGGGCTGCGGGCTTGCAGCTGCTTCCGGGGGGCGGAGCCACAGCTGTGCAAAACCGCCGGTTACCGCCAAACTTTAAAAAACAACAGACAGGGCGCCTTCAGCATCCACACAGCTGCAGCTCTCGCTTTAATCAAGAAGGAATAACGTTTTTTATTCGCTAGAAAGAAGAAAAAAAAAAAGCATGTCTCCTACTCCGAAGAGACCCTGCCCCGACTCAGTGGACGAGTCCATGAACGACTCGATGGAGAAGAGGATAAAGAGGATATCTGTGGAGGGAAATATCGGTGAGTGCACGGAATACATAGAAAACTATCAACTTGACACTCAAACTAACACTTTAAAAATGTGATTTACATGGAGATAAAACGGTGAGAACTCTTTTCGTTATCGACTCTTTAACGTCATTACTTTGCCGCCAAGCGCCTTTTTGTGCTCTCCTTCCATCTGCTAAACTAACAGCAGACACAGTCAGAAGTTAATGCCCTTGCAAAGTGTTTTTCCAGGTAACGTTGTTGATGTTTAGAGCTGTGTTAATTGTCAATCCTTTGTGTTTAGCTGCCGGCAAATCCACCTTTGTGCGCCTTCTGGAGCAGCAGAGCGCGGACTGGGAGGTGGTACCAGAGCCGATCGCAAGGTGGTGCAATGTCCAAAGAAAAGGAAGTGACTTTGAGGTACAAAACACACTTTGCTACGACTTGTGCATTCAAAGATAATGCACCTGAGTTGATGCAGGAGGGAGGAGAGAGAGAGAGAGAGAGAAGAGAGAGAGAGAGAGAGAGATTCTGCTTCTTAGCTTGTGAAACGATAAATGAAGGATGGATTTCATCCTGCATGAGGAACATGATCTGCTGGTTTAACATGCACATGTTAGGATAACTAGGAGGGTCTTCATCTGTATTTAGAGTGCAGCTGCCATCTGTCCATATATCTGCACAGCGGTCTCCACACACACACACACACACACACACAGAGCAACAGATGGTCTCACACCCAGACAGATGAACATGCCATCATCGTGGAGGAAAAAAAAAATCTCCAATCCAAACCGCCCACACACAACTGCAGCCTCGCCCTCGCCCTCGCCCTCGCCCTCGACTCAGTGGTTTGACATGTACCGTCTGTAATCAGTCAGCAGGATATTCAGGTGCCTGTCTGCGTTTATTGATGTCGCCTCAAGAAAGTGTAGTCTGAGACTGATGACCATGAATCAGACCCGGTCCTAACAGACTTGGTGTCGCAGAAAATTCCACCTTCAATCCTTGAATTAAATAATATGGTAGACGTTTCTCTCATCAGAGAAGTACAGAAACCTCAGCATCGTTTTTCAGCTTTTCCTAAGCCTCACCTCCCCACCTACACCAAAAACAAAGATCTATTCAGTGAGGACTTCTTGCACGCCTGCTCTTAGACGTACAGTAAACTCTCAAAACAAGGCAAGGACTTCTTCTTTTCTTAACACATGAAGACTCTTCCAGCTGCGCCCCCTGAAATGTGTAAATCTTGTGTGTACTTCTTGTGATGAAAGATACAACAGAAAACTAAAAAAAGTACTTTTTTCGATTCAGATTTTTTTTTTTTTTTGAAGTTTTCAAAATCCAAAACAAACAAACGCCAACTAAAATTGACATTTTTAGACACTTCAAATCCATTATTACCCCTTTTACCTTTTCTGAAGATTATTTCCTTTTTAATATAGCTGTACTGCCTCTGCCATGAGTACTTTAACAACGAGAGGTACGCCCCAGTGGAACTACGATCCAATCATATAATGAATCAATACATGTAAACAAACAAGAATACACACAAAGAGTAAAGAGCAGGATTAATGTATTTATGCACTTCCTCTTATCACGCTCTTTTATATTCTTTCCACCGCTGTCAGACATTATTCTGTTATCTTCTTCTAGCTGTCAACATGGGACCCTCGTTCATGTCATGATGGAGCACTGTGAGGAGGCGGGTGGCAGTGACACCGTGGAAGGGAAATCAGTTTAGGTCAGGGGTCGAGAAAATAAATTGAGATTGTCATCTTCTGAGATTTATAAAAAATATTTGATAACTTTTCTTTTAGTCTAATCAGTCACTCCCTGCTACGTGCTAATCTAGCTCTTTCACTTAAAAAAATGGAGCAGCAAGAAAGCCAGCCAGCCTCACAGATGATTGATCACTACTGTGTACTGTGAACACTGAGCTGCTGATCGTGTAGTACAGTGTAAAGTGACAGTACAGTGTTATCAGTATGTGTGGATCAGTAACTGTTGAGGTATGTGCAGCCACGCCTGCTGTGCTGCAACAGTCAGTTAATGTACACATCATACAGGAGTTTGATGAAGCGCCCTCTACTGGTCATGAGCATCATTACAGCCCTGCAGAACACCCTGACATAGTTCCCCTTCTTCGATGCATTTTGTACATCCAGCAGTAGATATTTAAAAATCCTCGTCTGAAAAGTGTTGCAGGGTTTTTAATCTTCAGCCGTTCCCTTGTGTTGATTGGTTAAAACAGGAGCTGACCACGTCTCAGAGGAGCGGAGGGAACATCCTGCAGAAGATGTACGAGAAGCCCGAGAGGTGGGCCTACACCTTCCAGAGCTACGCCTGCATCAGCCGCGTCCGCGCTCAGATGCGATCGGCCAACGGGAAGCTCAGAGACGCCGAGAATCCCGTGCAGTTCTTTGAGCGCTCCATCTACAGCGACAGGTGTGTGTGTGTGTGTGTGTGTGTGTGTGTGTGTGTGTGTTAGTTTATCAGCTAGTTGTCAAAGTCGTCTACATGACGCTGGACATCCATTACATTTTGGGGGTAGAGCACCTAAAGGAGGACTGAAAAGAAGAGGTGCATCTGTTTGCCTGAATAATTGTTAAACCAGTAGGAATATGAAGTTAAATCCTTGATGTATAAATCTCTTCCTATCCTGTTTTTTTATATTCTAAGTGCTTATTTAAGTATCTATTCTTATATTGTTTTATTTGCTTTGATAACCTGCTGCTGTAACACCACAATGTCCCAGTTTGGGATCAATGAAGTCATTATTTTCTATTCTTTCAGGTTTTTTTTTTTAATTGTTGTGTTGACATGACTAAAAAAGCAGTTTTGAAGATGTTGGCATGCACTTTTGTGAGCTGTTAAAGAATTATAAATCCGTTGATGAGTTGACAGATTGATTGGTAAAAAATGACTGACGTTTTAAGGCTGGAAATTAGCAAATTAAATTTTTCTCATTCATCATTTTGACATTACATCAGTTTTTCAACTGTCTTAATGTCACCTTCCCTTATAATTTCTCATACATGAAGTGCATTGTTTATATTTAAAACAAGTTTTAGAACATTATAAAAAATGGCTTCCAGAATTATCATGTTTTTTGATAAACAGTCTCTTGACACTTTGTTTTCCATGCCCTCCTGCTGTGTCCTCTCAGGTACATCTTTGCAGCAAACCTCTATGAGAGCGAGTGTCTGAGCGACACAGAGTGGTCCATCTATCAGGACTGGCACGGCTGGCTGCACAGCCAGTTCGGCAAGAACATCGAGCTGGACGGTATCATCTACCTGAGAGCTTCACCTGAGGTACTCGCCCTCGATCTCCTCGACTTAACTCATGCAATCACATCTGAAAACATCTCTGCTGCAATGCTTCAAATATGATTTTTGTGTTTGTGTTGCAGAAATGTTTAGAGCGTCTGCACCTGAGAGGCAGAGAGGAGGAGCAGGACATTCCTCTGGAGTATCTGGAGAAGCTGCATTTTAAACACGAGAGCTGGCTGCAGCATAAGAGCATGACGTAGGTCCACACATGCACAAAAGAAATACAATAAAACACACAATGGCTCATACGCAGCACAAAGTGTATGCTTTAAAGTGCAGGCAGTAAAAGTTCAAGAAATACATGAGGCTGCAAATGTGTGTTTTTATTCTTCAGTGTTCTCCAGAATGATTTTAAAAGATGAAAGATTCACTTTAAAGAAGTCAACTCAGCATGACCCCCCCCCCCTTCTCTCTCTGTCCCCGCAGCACAGACTTTGAGTACCTCAGTGACATCCCCATCCTGACCATAGATGTGAGTGAAGACTTTAAAGTGACCAACACAAAGAGCGCCGACATGATTGAGAAGGTGAGTCGCACTGAAAGACAAATAAAGAAGGAAAGCTTTACCGACTGTGCCTCATTCAGACGCTCCCGACGACATTATAAGGGGGCCAACTTTTTATAATCATCCCACAAAGTTGTTCATTATATTTTTTTATAGCATCACCTGCTGGATAAGTTGTGTATTTCCACTAGGGCCCGACCGATATGACATTTTTGGGGGCCGGATTGGGTAGAGAAAAAAATCAAATGCCGATATCTTTCTCTCTATTTTAATCTTTAGATATCAAGTTACACATTTATTGTGTTGATCCCTCAGATGCAGTTATCAAACACTTGATGTTTGTTGTAATCCATATAGCGCCCTCTGCTGGTGAAAGAGAACTGCTAGTTTAATACAAAGATATTTAAATGCTTTTTGACCGGTAAATAATCGAGTAATATCTGCGATATCGGCCGATATCATCAGTTCGCCGATAAATCGGTCTGGCTCTACTTTCCATATCTTACTTATCGATACTTCTCGGTCGCTGCAGGATGTCGCCGGCTTCCTGTGATTGTTGACATGCCTGATTTTTTTGCGGCAGCTTTTTTTTAAACAAAAACTATCAATGCAAGTTGCAATGTGTTTTTGTTTACGTTACACATTAGACATCAACTTTTTAGAAACTGGGACAAACAAAATCAACATGTGAGTCAAATAGAGCCATCTATTGGCTGAGCAAACTGTTCGTCTTCTGATGTGAGGGGGCGTCATGAAACCAGATTTTTTCATACCTGCTGCCGTTACCATGGCAACAAATATTCAAAGTCACAGGAAGCTATAGTGGGTAATTTCTTGTTCTTATCTCTTAATTTAGCAGGTTGCACACGGACTGATTTGCACAAATGCTCTCTCTCTCTCTCTCTTTGACTTTTTGATGTATTTGTGCGATTGCGACAGTCCTCTCTATTTTCTGAGCTCGGGAGCTTTTGATTTAAGAACAGAAGTTAGGTCGTTGTTGTTTTTGTAAAGCTTCTGTTCTTTTTAATACTCTCAATCCTTCAAATAACTGAGACTATCGATTTCAAACACCTGGTGAAAAGTGTCTGATATCTTGTATTTTTGCACGAGCTGAATAAGAGTTTAAAGGTCTACAAAGGTGTGAATAAAGTCTTAAACATGTGTTTTAAAAGAGGGGAGGGGTCAGCAGCGTTCTGATACTAACCCACAGGCAGGTTTCACTGATGGAAATGAGGCCTGAAGAGCTGCTTCTGTTGCAGTTTCATGTTGACGGTAAACACAGGAAACCTTTTGCGAGACATTTCCATCCCATTCAAAAACCATTAGTGAGAAACGGCCCCAGTCAAAAACACAATGCTCTGCAGTCTGCACAAACGTCCTCTGAAGAGCGAGATACTATCGATTCACATTCACACGATCAATAGTGATGCTAACGGTTTCACTCTTCTTCTCTTTCAGGTGAAGGAGTTCTTGAGCACGTTGTGATGGAAGAAGAGTCAGAGTATAAATGAAGACAAAAGTCAGAAGCTTGACATTTATTTTTTATCAAATCATTCAAAATGGTTTATCCTCTCGTATTTTAACTTTTTTTTATTGTTTTCTTAAATCGTGTATATTTATGATTTGTGCAAATGAAAAAGTGTTGATTTTGAAAATGAACAAATGACAATAAACTTGAACTTTTCATAGTTTTGGTTGTTTGTTATCCACCCCGTGGTGTTGACTGGGATCTGTAATTCCATAAACCATTCCTTCTCAAACTGTGGAGAGAGTACAACTGGTGGATCCTTGTTATGGTTCACTATCCAGCATCTGTAGATACACAAAAATTACAAGAGTGTAAGAGTACACTGTTCATCTCCAAACTCCTCCAGCAATACACAGAAAATAAACCAACAACAACAAATATACAGAAACAAATAATCAAATAAAACTAAAAGTTAGAAAACTAAACATTTTCATTTTGTGAAAATATTCTTGCACATAAACACAACCTGCATATTTTATATGAAACTGAAACTCAAAGCACCAGAAAGAAATGGTAACATTAAGTGTGTAGTTCATGGTAATAGGAACTTTGGGCTTTCTCTCTTCCACGACTAATATTTTTGAAAACCACTGGAGCAACTTTCAAAGGAGGAAAATAAATGGTACAGCCAAAAGTCTTGAAACGTGTTCTCGGTTGTATTTTTCTAAATTTAGGAATCTCTTCTGTGGGAGTCTGATTATTATTTAATTTTTTAAAATAGAGATGTACAAATCAAAAGGATGGCAAGCAAAGCTGTGATGGCAAACGGAGGAAGTAAATATGACTGTTAAATCTTTTTGTGGCTTCAAACACAAAATACAGAAACTAAAGTCAACGACATCTGACTCTGAGTCTCATCCATTTTTTTTATTCTTCTGGAGTGGCACAGAGAATGAGCCCAGCACTGTACATGAAGTGAAATAGCCTTATTGTATTTAGAATCATCCAATCACAGCTCAGTGTGAACAAAAGACATGAAGTCATGAAAATATATCAAAATGGGGTAAAAGTGTTATTTTAAACATCTGTATCGACCCGGATTTTAACAACCGGTGCATCTCCAATGTTTATTGATTCCTCCAAAGTTTTTTAATTGTATTACTTGTCTCGTCCACAAGAGGTCGCCAGTCTCCACAACACGACTCAGACTGCTGAGCTCATTTACCTGTTGGACTTGATTCACCCTATCTGAAATATGTGCCATAAATGTTTGTTATCATAATTATTATAATTGCACAAGTTGTGTGCATGAGAGAGAGAGGTAGATTAGAGCGAGCAGAGAGCATATGAAGGTGAAGCAGCTCCTGCAGGTCTTCTTTCTTTAACATAGGTTAACAAAGGTTTACGTAATCAGGCGTTAAACCAAGTTAATATTGAAATGTTTTGTGACAAAGGTCTGAATGCTTTTGCAATCAAATTTTTTTAATAATTTAGACTGGATTTAAAGCCCAAGCTGCTGGGAATCTGTCCAATCACAGAAAAGCAACACACTATTTCTACATTAAGTGAAATTAAGGCTCTAAAGATGCAAAATGAACGACACAGAAACCAATAGTCAGGTTGAAGTGTGCTGCGCCACCCAAGTGCACAACTTTGTGACCTCCGCCCCCCGGTGTCGTCACTCAGGAGGAGGGATGGCACCCTTTACATATGGAACAGACACGCTGCGCTCTCAGAGTCTCTCCACACGCTTCAAGAGAGACACATTTAAAGAGTCGGTTTTTTTTTTATCTCCACCATGTCACCGAGACACGACCTGAGCGAGCCCAGCACGATATGAGGATTTGCTTTTTTTCAACGTTTGATTTACAGGGTGGAAAGAAATCACTCCAGCGAGACAGCTCCGGCTCCTTTTACGACTTTTTTTCTTTTTTGACTGTAGAAAAAGCGCGACAGATAAAAGGAGGAGAACATCTGTAAGCAAAGACTATAAGAGACACCTAAACTGAGCAGAAGGATTGATCAAGCCTCAAAAAGGCGAAACTGGTCACCATGAGTTCCGAGAAGTCAAAGTAAGTTTTAAGATCTCTCCTCTTTTCCTTGTTAACAGCTTTCAGCAGTGTGAACTTTCGCCTGCAGGAGGGCATTTCCCGTCTTGTTGACGTGTGAAAGTTCGGAAGTGTAAATTAGGTATCAGGTGAGTGACTCATTCGGTGCAGATTTTCTGTGCGTAAAACTGAATTTTTCCGACTACTCAACTTGCTTTGGTTACTCACTTGTGCGCCAAATCTTAAATAAATGAACGTTTCGCTGAAAGCAAGTTGAGAAATGCCTTCAGTCATTCGTGCACCACCCTTTCCCTGGATAAGCCAAGCTGCTGCCGCGCCACCGTGGCTTTGAACAGCCAGGTAATCTATTTTCCGAGAACCTGTCCCAGGTGATTAGCGAGACAAGCAGGGCAGGGAGTGCACGCCAAGTGAAGTGCAGGAGAGTTGTCTCTATAGAGTCACTTTTTTTTAATGAAAAACGCGGAGTATGAAGTGTGCCATGTGGGGGCAAAACTCCACACTTGAGCGTGCGGGGGACAGCGTGTGCTGCGTCCACGTTGCGCAATGACGCGTCAGACTCCGCGTGTTGCTATGAAACACGGAAACACTGTGCATGACCTTTTCTGACATGCACCTGGAATTCATCAGCTGTTTTTGCAAAACCCACATCTGCAGCCTGCACCAGTTGCTTCAACAAAGTAGCAAAATTTTTTTTTTTTAGGTGCGGAAATGGCGCTATAGTTCGTCTGATTCTGATTCTAGACTTGGGCATAGTCCCCTACAGTGTCACTATCACCACCTCCTATAAAGTAACAAGTCGCCTATTGTGGCTCAACTCAGGTGTCTGCCCTGCCCTCAACAGAAACCGTAAAATCCCAACTTGATTCCTCATTCTTTTGTTTTGTGTTGGATTGTGAAATCTAGCTGCAATTGTTCTCTCTACTTTCCTTTGTGACATTGATTTTCTTTTCTTTATTTTTCTTCCGTTGAGACTCTTCCTCATGGTTTCTAACCTGAGTCTTGAATGTCCCCTTTTGTGCCCTTGCTTACTGGTGATCAGATACATTAGATAGCTATTCATATTTCCTCATCCAGCTGAATGTTGTCAGTGGGATTTCCAAAAAGTCCGGAGAGGAGATGATTTTGATTTAGTAATCACATTAAAGACTCCTCAGTACAGTAAAACTCCTCTGTGCCCCTTTTCCTCCTTGTCTACTTACACCGACCTTTTTCACACCTCACACTATTTGATTTGTAGAAACCAGAAACAGATACAGACTATACTTGGGTCAGTTCAAACATTCTTTTTGTCCTAGCATTTCCAATGTTGGTTTCGACCCTTTTAACCATAGTTATTTCTGTAATGAATTAGTCTCATGCAAACTGTCTTGAAACATAATAAATGCATCTTTTAGTCTATAAAATGGCAAAGAATTTAGGGAAATAAAGGTCATCAAAAGAAGACTTCAAATTGTTTCAAGTTTTTTTGCACATTAACATTTAATCTTTCATATTTAAGACTAGTAATGCTAAGTTAAATCCTGGTTGTATTTATTCCCATTCTTAGTTTTGATATTTTTAGTGCTTATTTACTTTGTTTTTAATATTATATTGTGTTTAAATTTGCTAATATTGTCTGTTTGGATAACCTGCTGCTGTAACACCACAATTTCCCAGTTAGGATCAATAAAGTCATTCTATTCTATTCCATTGTCAGCCTTAAAAGTTGGCTATCAACCGCTACCTTGCAAGTGGATTAAGCGTGGTTTGAGAAGTTTCTAGCAGTATTTAAACACTGAAAGTTTTTCTTTATGCATCTAAATTCATTTCTTGTGGCTGACCTAATGCAGACCCCTTTTTATTCTGATAGATATGACTCAAACATGCTGTACTCCCACCTTTCACACCCTCAGATTCCAACTGTTAAACACTCAAAATGTCCCTTCTGGGTGAAGTTATATCACTTCTGTATCATCCCTGTGTTTCTGGTTGTACTCCTGGTTGTGTTGGTGGTGGTGGGGGGTTTCAGACTATTGTTGAACCTGGCTGCTGGTGGGATCTGGTGCGTCATTCTGTTAAAGAGATGGGGATGATCCCTGATCTGGAGCAGCTGATCCCTGCTCCTCACGCACCGACAGGTTTATCCCGACCCATGAGGTCACTAAGAAGACAAGCGGCACAGTGAGAAGTTGTGAGATGGATGCAGCAGGTTGCTCTCTGACCCTTCAACCCGGCTTGTGTCCCCCCCCCCCCCTTTTTATTAATCAAGCTCGGGAAGTTATAGCAGGAAATAGAAAAAGGAGATCAAGAAGATTTCCAGCATTCACACTGACGCAGACACGAGATCTTATCGGTCTTGTGTATTAAAACAAAGATATGTATGCAGTCTTGCAAGAGTAGGTCATTAGGACAGTGCTGGAAAAATATTTGTCATTATACTCTCGCAAACTTGCAGCTTCCCAAATTCTCATTATTCTCAAATCTGCATTTATTTCCGCTCTTCATACCAGTCTAGTTCTTTTTGATTGCCGAGCTCTTCCTCTTGCATCCTGCATGCCTGTGCACCACCTGTGTTGTGTTTTTCATCAGAAAGGGTCTCCCTCTCTGAGGTCTCAGTGAGTGATTAACATGGCTCCAGTCACCAGCTATACAGGCGGCAGTAAACCTGCAACATGAGCTACCTTGAGCTCTCCTGTTTAGCTCATGGTTTTTCTCGCTGTGTTGTTACTTGACCTTTCTTCGTGCAAACTCACACTTTAACTCTCGACACTTTGTTCAAGTAAATGCTACAAGACCGAGCTGTGTTCCTGGAAAGATGCATGTCACCACAGCAGCCAATTTCCTCTAAAATCATGCTCAATGTGGGCGACACAAATCCTCTTTTAATGTCATGCTCTGTTCCAGACTACAAGTCATTATGAACCTGAGCAATCAATATCATTTCAAAGATTAGCAACGTTAAAGATTATTGATCTAGAAGGTCATCAAGGCCATTTGAAGTTTCCACTGTTGAATTAATGACTACTAGCCTACTGTACATAGCCTACTTATCTTCATTAGCTTAATTCTAATTGTGTGTAATACTCTGTTTGGTTAGCAGGCTACAAAATAGCTGGATGCTTGTTAGCACTTCCATTAGCTACCGTGAGAAACCACCTAGCGATGAATTACTTCCTAGCTAACATTAGCTTTTAGGGAGTAGTCTGTATCATGACCGACATGTTTCGTATAAAATAATATTTGTTAGCTGTTGATGTACTGGCTACTGTAGCAACCAGCAACCTGAACACGTAATTCATAGGTTGGGGGTGCGTGGGGTATCCTGTTAGTCGTTTGTTCTACTAGCAGTCAACTGCTAGCTTACACATTACACACATACTATTAAACAAAAGCTGTTGGTGACCCATTGGCAACTGTACAAAAACAACTAGGCTAACGTTTATAATATCGTTCATAAATCAAAAAGCATTGCTCATTAAGTAATGGTTGTTTATGACCCAATACAAAACTGGCACCATTAGTATCTTTGTATTGTAATTAGCTTTGCTTTTAAAGAGTTTACAAGAAAATGGCTGCATGCTAACATTAGCCGTTTATAACCCGTTACCATTAGACAACAGCTAAAGCTAGCATTCAATAGGCTGCATTATGTTGTATCTTGGGCTAGGGCAGGATGGCTGTCCATATTTTCACTTGCCATTATCTTTTTAGTCTCTGAACATTTTGGAAACGTTTAAATGACTATGATGATAATGCTTTGCCATGACTCTTGGTCTTTGACAGCTTGATCGCTTCCCCGCCTGAGTGAGTCTGACATGAGGCAGGGTGAAATGGCCTTTGTTTAGATTTAAATTTGGTGAATGGTTGTGAAAGACTGGAATAAAATGGCTCCACCCTTCGTGTTTTCTATAGTTATGTCCACTGACCACATTCTGAATGACACTTTAAGCTGTTTGTTATAAATACTTCAAGTGCATTGCAAAACAAACTCTCTAAAGCTATAGTGATGCTTTCCATTCGCTCCGTCATGGAGGGAGCGTTCGAGCAGAGCAGCTCATGCAAAGAAACCTGGAATTAAACAATGGCTTCAAAACTTGAACTACCCTTTATTGCTTGCAACAAAAGGAGGCTACAGAGGCTTATTACTGTATTAGTATTACTTTGCACCAAGCCTTGCCACTCCCCACTTTTTTTGATCTAGGCGCTAACTCATGGCTCGACATTACTGTCCTGCCAATCAGCGTTGTACCTCTATCTTTCTCAAGGCCAGATATGAAAACCCTCTGGGAGAAGAGTCCGATTAGCGTCCGGTGCTATCGCTGGAACAAGTTGTATCCTTCCTGACTATGTTTATTTAGAAGTTTGTGTACACTGCTCCCATCCCTTCATTTTGCACACAGTGTCATCCTCATGTTCGGGGGGTTTTATTCTTGGGCTTATTGACATTCTTGATACGGTTCCCAAAAATGGTAATTCATGTTTTGTTGTTTAACAGAACTGTTCTCATAAATTGGTCAGATTAGCCATGCCAGATAAATTCTTGATTCGATGCTGACACGCTTTATGTTATCCCAGGAAAAAAGCTGGAAGATATCCTAACAGATAAGTGTAGGACTTAAAACCGTAATGATATATTGGCTTCAGTTTTTGCAGTGATAAACTCTAGCTGTTTTGGCTTTAGACGGCTATATTCTGAGATTGATTGCATATGTTTTGGCCCAAAGCTTGCTTTTCCTGGATTCGATTAGTCCACGCTTCACTGCATTGAAGGGAGCAACATTCCTTCCGACTCTCCAGGAACTTTAAGGAATAGCGTTTTAAAGGAAACTTCAGACCATGAGGATGTTTCTGACCCCGGAGTAAACATGAGGCCTCCTACAGTATTTTGCAATAGTAGTTCCAGTGTTACTCACTTAAAGATTTTTCTGCGGTGAAAGTGTTGCAAAATCTCTCCATTTACAACGAGCTGTTTCATAAGAACTCTCATGATGGTTGCAGCATTGTTGTTGGATGGAAAACAAGATATCGGTCATTTGTGGGCGAATGCAATAGTATCAGAATGCTCCTAAAAACATACCCGGTTGGCAGATTTTGAAGCATTTGCTTTGCAGGTATTCATGTTTTTAACCATATCAGAATCAAAATCTCAAATTTAGATTGTTTAAAAACAGAGTCAGCAATCGAGTGTGTTGACACAACTTGAGATAGGTGACTTAAGTTGTTCAAAAGAATATGTAACTCAACACAATCATTGTAAATGTTTCACTTTTTAATCGATTAAGTTAAAACATTGTTCTCCCTTTTCATTGCAGAGTGGAGGATGAAGCGGTCTTGGACAGAGGAGCGTCCTTTGTCAAACACGTCTGCGACGAGGAGGAAGTGGAAGGTAAGATCCGTGATGAAATCCAGCTCACTTTATCCCCTCATCCACCCTGTGAAACCTGTAGTCTCCCCCTCTGGTATCGGTGGAAAGCTGAACACATTATGTAAGATAAACACAGGAAGATGTTTCTGCAGATTGTCCAGCACTGGCTGTCAAGTTAAGGCCACAGGAGAATTCATCCACAGACTGCCAACAACCAACGTTATGTGTTTCGTTGAGCTGTTAGTAGTTGGAACCCAGAACATAATTTCCTGTTAACGACGTTTAAAAACTGGTTCAAAAGTAGAGTTTTTTCCATGGATGAAATTTGCGGCATGATGGACCGCTGCAAAGTTTGTAAAGATGTTAATCAAACCACAAGACTTCTTCATGGATTGCATGGTTGAAAACACACATTAGCTTCAGTGCTATCTTCTCCCTGGTTGTGTCTGACATCACACACTCATTCCCTACTCCTTAAATGACGAGTTCTTTGTAGTCGACTATGAAGTGCTCTCATTGGGCCCAATAAGAAAAACATATTGTGGTCCAATAATGACGCCATTTCTGTCCCACAACTAAAACGTACAGCTTCCCGCTGGCCAAAACTATTAATGGTGATAAATAAATATAAAATACTGAGCTTTTATTAAATAAAATGCAAAAAAAATGTTCACACCAAACTTAAATATTTGTGTTTACAGACTCTGGTCTCGTGTCTGTCAGCTTCATTAGGAAAAACTAAAGCAACTCTGTTGAAAGAGATTTCTGTAAAAATGCTCCAATATGAATTTTTTTTCATGTGACTGTGTTCAAGCTGGTCGCTGCGTTTGTTCGTCTGAGAGAAGTCAAATGCCACTTTCATCTCTTTAAACTCTTTGATCTGCACTGCATGATGGTATTGCTTGGATAGGGACCATCGGTTGTACGCTACCTTTCACAATGCATTGTGGGATACGATGAGTCCACTATGTGTACCGTATGATAATGCTCACTCAGAACTTTGACAATACTGCTAAATGGCATATTCACTATTAGAGCCCGACCGATTTAGGATCTTTGGGGCCGATATCGATATTGGGGAGAGAAAATTAATCTGATCACGATATATCGGCCGATATCCTTCTTAGATTCCTCTTCGATCTGTAGAGATAGATGATATAGATATACGATATACATGTTTATTGCGTTGATCCCTCAAATACAGTTTTTAAACACTTGGAAAAGATGTGTAATGGAGACAAGATGGTCGCTCGACTGGAAATTAACTGCACATGATACGCAAATGAAACGTCATATGACTGGTGAATGAATCTAGTAATATCAGAGAACATAAGAGATAAAATTAGCCGATACCAACGCTAATATCGGCCAACATTATCGGCTCACTGATAAATTGGTCGGGCTGTATTCACCATAAAGTGAGTGGTGTGATTCCACGCACAGCCCCTGTCTTCTTCTTTTCTCTCTTGTCTCTCTCTCTCTCTCTCTCTCTCTCTCTCTCTCTCTCTCTCTCTCTCTCTCTCTCTCTCTCTCTTGTTACTTCCTGGAGACAATGAGTGATGATGTCCTGAATGCGATGTTGTGAAGGAAAATGTCAGCCTTTATGTCATGTTAAAACCCAGCTGTCATACTCTTCCTGATGGGGAAACAAACCATAAATGTCAAGGAAGAGCTGGAAACAATGCGTCAGAGTGATATGCGAACATTTCCGTCACACAAGTCAAACCAGTCCGCCATTGTTTTTCTTTTTTTTTTCCTTCCAGTGGTGATATACGGATTAGCAACATTCAGGATTAATGTGATTTTTTTTGTGTGAGTGTAATCTGATCTGCATCATCTTGTCACGGGCAGGTCACCACACCGTGTACATCGGCGTGCACGTTCCCAAGAGCTACCACCGGAGGAGACGCCACAGACGCAAGTCCAGCCACAAGGAGAAGCGGGAACGGCCGGATCAGAGCACGGAGGGGTACAAGTCAGACGGGGAAGAGTCCAACGCCTACATCCTCAAACCTCTCAGTGAGTTCTGAAAAAAAAAAAAAAAAAAGCATTTCAGTGTGGAGAATACAAATCACCAGAGTCACATTACCGAGGGTTATATCACTCTCCAGATGTTGTTGGCAACCGAAGAAGTTGGAAAGAAAAGAGCAGAAAACCTACACTCAGAGTAGAGTTACTGCAAAATATGAATCTGAAAAATGACATCCGCTTTCAGTTTGTGATGTAAACACAGGTGTGTGTGTATTTACCTGGAAGATTAAAGCCGTGCTTTTGTTGTAGGATTTGTGCGAGAGGATCCTCAGATGATAAAACACCCAAAGTTAAGGAGGGAGCAGAAGCAAGATATTTACTAGATACAGACGGACAATGCTCCCTTATGTAACCCCTTCAGTTCAGAATTAAAATCAGTAAAGAATCTTTGAAAGAATTGGCTGTAAATGAAGCAGGATCTCATGAATGTAACCCTCCTTTCACATGATCCTCGGATGCTTGACCTCCAGAGTTCAAAGCTCTTCTTTGTTGTTTTTGAGCTTTAAGTCGTAATGTGGAAACAACATGGAAACGCTATAAATAGGATATGTGGCGGATCATAATTTCTCAGAACTAATCTACACGGTTAGCAGCAAAATGGGTACAAACTTAAACCCTCCTACATAAGGAAAAAGGCATCATGTATACACACACACAAACACAAACACACACACACAAATCTTTTTATAATGCTGTCATTCTGTGTAGTATGAAGTCAGCCAGTAGCCTTTTTTAATTGGTTGGATTGTCTCTATGTACGGAGGCTGTAGTCTTCAATGCTAACTCCCCCGTCGATTCCGACGTGTCATTCCCCGCTCTCTCTCTTCGTCCCTAAATTTCAGACTCTATCCACTGTCCCTGTCAATCAAAGCATGCAAAGCCCCCAGAAAGTCACTTACACCCTCTGTTCAAAATGATCTGGTTACACAGCAGAAATGAACATTACAGCCTGGTTTCTGATTGGCTCTAGTCTTTATCCACACACACGTACATGTTTTTATACCTGAACTGTTTAGATTTTAACATGAAGGATCAGAGTTATTCTTAATAAGAGAGGCGTGGCTGACCTGACGGGTGGGCAGCTGGGCGCGGTGCAGCTGTTTGTCAGGAGGCTTCACACGCCTGTCGTTAGGTTGAGACAGGATTTCCAGCATGGCGACCTCCATCAACAGGATTCAGAAGCCCCCTTTAGTAACCAATAGGTGAATCACTCAGGCATCATCCATGTTTATTTACAGTCTATACAATCTAGCCAGTGTATGAGTCATGACTGTCTACAATGGGTGTATCACCCGAGTCCCACTGTCTGTGATGTTTTCAGAGTTTTCAGAGTCCTATCTTCAGTTTGTTTACATCGCCCGGACGGCCGGCTGACTCCTCCCCTCACGTATAAAAGTTGTTTAATTGAGGGACTAGAGAAAAGAAGAATAACATACTGTACTCACTGCTTAACTGTGTTTCTAGATCACGCTCATTTCAGGTAAATTTACATGCAGTGTGAAGATACCAGCATAATAAAGATCGCTAGCATTAGCATGCTAACACAACAATGCAGCGCAAGTTGTTTTGGTTTCATGCTGGTGCTCAAGGGCGACATCTGCTGGATCAAAAAATCACATTTTAAAGCCTTTAATCGTAGACATTACATTTTCTGATCTTTGGATAATGCCTCTTTGAAAATTCTGCTTCTCAACAATCCTAAAGCTACAAGAAATGGATTAAAAGTATCCTGGAAAAAACAATTTTCTACAAACGGTGACATCAAGCTGATCACCGGTTTATCGGTTTTCTTCTTCTCTGAGGCTTACCAAATAGTTTTTCTCAGTATGAAACACTTTTCTTCTGATCATTTCCGACACCACATGGATGCAGCGTTTGGCCTCAAAGTGCACATTTTAAAGATTGTCGTCGGCCTCATGGGTCTATCTTCAGGAAGCAGCACCAGATGTCTGCCCTTATATGGCAGATTAGGAATGCGGCATGGAAGAATCATTAATCCCACGATCATTTTCTTAGAGCAGGAGGAATAATAATTATCTGTAAATCAGCTTTACATGAGCCTACAAGAAGACCTCTCTCTTCTACATGACACACACACACACACACACACACACACACACACACACACACACACACACACACAGATGGAAACACATGATTTAGTAACGGTGTAAACGCAGCATTGAATTCCAAGAAAATCTCATTTTAATCTGTAAAGATGAAGGCTTAAACAACCAGCTATTTAGAAGACGTATAATTAGCACGGTATTGGAATTCACCTTTTAAATTGCACATCCAGGAAGCCGGCGTCATGGCCGTGTTTACGCTCTGCTGTTCGTTTTGTGGAAGTAACCATTAAGGTCTGAAAACGGTGGGAAAAGAGGACTTGCCCCTCAAACAACCTGAACATAAAGAAAGGCTAATCTAGAATTAAAAACACGCTTCATCCAAAGTCAACTGGACTTTTGAAGGTTGAAGATCTTCACCTCTCCTCTGAAGGCGTCTTCAGTTCAGTTCTGTTCATGATGTAGTTATGGAACAATAAGGGGTACATGAACTGAACAGAAACAGCTGTTTAACATGCCAGAAAGTGATGCAAACATCACTCCTTGTCTTCCAAAAGGACTGAATCGTTCTACACATAATCTCAAACATGCACGTACATGCTGAGAGTATACAGCCAGGTGCCAGGATGTAATCAGGGGAAACTCTTCACACTGTACGTATTTCTTTTTTTAGATCAGTTCATGTAAATGTTAATCTCGCTCTCTGGGGACGCTGGTACTCTAGCTGTTAGTACGCCTGCCCCATGTACAGAGGCTAAATTCCTTTTTAAAGCTGGCGGCCCGGGTTTGAATCTGACCTTTGGCTTCTTTCCCTGCATGTCATTCCCCCCACTCTCTCTCCCCGGTTTCTGACTCTATCCACTGACCGATCTCTTAAAAAAATAAAAAAAGGCATGAAATCCCCAAAAAATAAATCTAAAAAAACTTTCCCTCTTCAACACCTTTTTAAAAAAAAAAAAAAAAATTTGATTCCAGTTTAAACCCGTTTTAAAAAAGTGTCCTTTCATGGAGCATTTTTATTCTTTTTCTGAATGTGAGGCTCGATTTAACCAACGCTGTTAACGAGAGAAATAAAGCACAACGTGGATGAACGGTTTCTCCATTCTGACCTTTTTTATAATAATAATAAATGTTATTCATAAGCGCCTTTCAAGACACACAAGGACACTAATCAACATTTAAAAAAAACAGCGATGGATAAAATCAGCATACAATAAAATAAATGAAATGTAAAAGTGAGTAGGCGATCTTGAACAGATGGGTTTTAAGTCACCTGCGTGTTTTAACACACGTACGGTCACACCCTCAATTTGCGGTGTGTCTGGCTCAGTAGCTACCCGTCGGCCTCCTTCTGCCTTTTTTTTTTTTTGGCCGATTTGACATGTTGAGTCGGTGAGATGAATCTCTCTGATTGGCTGTTGGAGATTTCATTTCTCTCCAGCTCTCCTCTCAGGTTCAGTAAAGCCCCTTGAGCATGCCGCTGTAGTATCCATGCTTTCACCCATTAGTGCGGTTTCTCCTTATTTGTCTCCTTCATTTCCTTTTTCACTGAAAGACCAAGAGCTGACAACGCCAGCGCCATTTTCAACTTTTTTTTAATCAGACATTATTCTCCATTAGTAGACGACCTGTAATCCGAGTGATGACCGACAGCGGTGTGAGAATGGTCTTCTCGTATCATAAAAACGGACTACCGCCCCCTGCTGGCATGGAGAGTTATTTCCTCTCAGTGGTGGTCGGCTGTAGTCTTTGCGGTGTGTTCAAGTGCAACTTTTTTGACCAAGACGTGAGGCCACTAGTTCTTTGCCGTCTGCTTGGTTGTGTCAGGGCCTTTCCTTCATCACATCAAGCTGTCAGTCCAGAGACAAGCTCTTGAGTAAACCCCCCCCCCACCCTCCCTCCTCCTCACACGTCTAGCTCCTCTAATGCTGTAATCCTCCTTTTATAAGGCCTCATGCCAGTGTATGCACTCCGTCACCTAAAGGTCCCTTTTGTTATGATACGGGTTTGCTCACATTTTGTCTGTCTTGTTGAATCAGCGTTCCATGAGTCATGCAAAATGAAGCTGCAGGTAAACAAACACAGGTATCATCGCGGAGGTGCTGTTAAGAGCGTTTTTTTAATACATCTTGTAAGAGGTCGGGGGGGGGGAGATAAAGAAAAGGCCAACACATAACTCTGAAAGGAAAACAGATTAAGCATTTGTTGATCTGATAACAGCTTAACAACTCTTCAGTGCTCAGCTAAGCATAGTGTTGTAAAACAGTAGCTGTATGAAAGTTGTCGTTTGCTCATGAATGTCTGCATAGGTCTCAATAATACACACCAGCCAGTTTTCTTTAAGACCTTTTCCAAACCTCTGTGGCATTTAATGACGCCCTCAGTGTCGTTTGGACGTGTGTACGGTTCAAACATGGGGATGTGTTTGTGTAAATGCAAACACTGTCGCCCGCCTGTTCATCCATAGAATCAGACTTTACAGCAGCACTTTTCATTCACCAAATGTCATCTCTTTCCCGCGGACTTGGATCCTGACCTTCATGTAGCTTAGCATTAGGTTTTCTCGCCACAGTAGAACAGGTCCAACTGTACTATTTTTAAAATCGAGCGTCCTAAATGAAGCCTGGGTGTGCTGTGTCGGGATTAAAAGGTTACAGGCACTGTCACGTTGTCAAAGTATCAACCTGTGCGGTCCTACCTGGCACAGCGTTTCAACAGAATAAGGGTCATAAGTCGCCTCTTAACTCGCCACCTCGCCTTCTTTTTGTGTCACCGTTGCACAACTTTCCTAGAAATGCGAGCAAGAAAGAAGTGCTTGGACTAGTTAGACTTACACTGTAAGGAAATTAAAAACTGGGGGGTGGGGGGAGACTTTTGGTTGTAGGAAGACGGGGAAGAACAATGTGCCGTACTTCACAGGTCAGCGCAGTGATACAGATCAGGTCACACCTTTTTATTACAAGGAAGTAAACGTTACATAAGTTCTTCCTCATGAGGGTGTTGGCAAAGCTTTTTTTCCTCCTAAATTGAATCAAAGCACTTTTTCTATATTTAAGAGTCATCCATCACAGAGCAGAGTTTTAATCTGCTCTGCACATCAGTGAAGCCTGAAACAAGCACGTAGTGATGCTCGCGCTTCCTGTTGACATCTGCATCCTTGGGTCGTCCAAAAAAATCTTAAAGGGAAATACACTTTACATGAAGCACACTCCAGAGTAAAATCTGATTTACTGTTGGTGCAGCGGGATTCAAGTCCTGTAAAAAGTGTTGTGCTTGTGTCTGACAGCCTGCATCATACTGTATGTATGTCAGATTTATTAAGGAGTGTTGATGCTTTGTTTTCTGCATGGGATGTGTAGCTAGTTTGCACTTTGCTGTGCAGAGTCAGTCTCACCTCTGCACATACACAGATCAGGATTTTAATTAATTATTTATCAGCTTTAATTAGTGTTGTAGTACTCCAAATCTTTTTCCTCAAGGCCGGTCACTAGACCACTTTTTGAAGGTGTCGTCCTCGGTATCTGAATCATTTTTACTCAGTTTTCTCTCGGTCTCAGGCTGGGCGAACTCTGGATTTTAAATCAAGACCGGTCAAGAGCACCACTGATAGTCCACTGTGTCACTGTGATGATTTTTTTTTTTTACCCGCCTGGTAATGGCTGCAACCTTCCCGGTGTTACAGGATTATGATGACTTTTTATTTGACATTTTATAATGCATATATATGTATCTTATATTCAGGAGCCAACCTGCAGAAGTTCTAGTTATGAGTGACGATACAGATCTTGAATCTGGACTGTTTATCTTGACAGCACCCTCGACCCGTCTGTTTTCATTGAAATTCATTATCTGATACGAGAGTCCGTCGAAGCCAGAGGCAAAAAATAAATGCCAGGTTACTCTAAAATCGGGATTAGCAGCAACCATGTTTATTTCGGTAACATTGCTCAAACCAAGCTGATTGGTTATGAAGTGTTGATACAGTAACAATGAGCCAATTCACAATCTTTTGGCTAGCTAGCTAAGCTAACAAGTCAAATGCTGCTGCCTCGACTCTGACTCCCCGTAGCACACACTCGACTCGGTAGCGGCCTGCAGAGTTAGATAAACTAGGCTGCTCTGCTAGCTAAGTTTGGGAAGGTTAAATGTCAAAGAACAAACCCTCATAAAGCAATGCTAGCTGGTGTTTTCTTGTTAAAGTGTCTTTCCCCCTTAGTTTAAGCTAGGCTAGCAGCATTCAGTCTTTACTCTGCATGTTTTTTATGAAAGATGCTGCAAAAATAAGGAATACAACTAGTGCAAAAACTACTTCATCATCTCTACTTTTGAGGGTATTTTGTGTTTGCCATGTTGCATCCAATGTGTTAAAGTTTCCGGTCCCTAACCTGCCCTTTTTCTCCTCCTCCACAGTTTCTCCCGCTGAGAGGATCCGGTTCATCCTTGGCGAGGAGGACGATGGCCCCCCGCCTCCTCAGCTCTTCACCGAGCTGGACGAGCTCTTGGCTGTGGACGGACAGGAGATGGAGTGGAAGGAGACGGCCAGGTGAGCCACTCAGTGGAATGTTTTTATTCTTTCAAAGCCAGGCATGAATTCTGTCAGACACCCCCCCACCCCACCCCCACCCCAACCCAACCCCACCCTTCTTTTTATATATTAGGAGCCGCGGGCAGTGTAGTCGTAAATTTCCTGCTGTACAATCCCAGTGCAGTCAGCGGAACAAAATCCCTTTTATGAATAATCGTGTTTTGTATGTGTAGGGAAATAAGTCGGTGAACTCCCAGTCTGCTCTTATCTGACTGGGATCTGGAGTACCTGCTCTGTGGGACCAGGAAACGACAGAAAGTCCCACATGGTTTAGAACAAGACTTGAGGTTAACTGGAGCGCTGGGGCTCATGCAGTTTAGACATCTGACATCTGTTTTTTATGCCTTCTTATTAAAGACGCTGAGGTTGTAAATGTTAAGTCACTGACTGGATCCTTTTGTCCCAAAGATTTAAAATGATTTGATTACATTAGCAGACAGAGGAGACAAAAGGACAGCCACTAAAACGTCCTGGCAGTACGTTAAAAGTTGACTTATAAAATCATTTTCTTCTGTCTTGTTTTGGCAGATGATTATACTTTAATTATTCTGTCTTCAAACAAAATTAAAAAAAATGAAAAAACAGAGAATTTCCTCCTTTTTAAGACACAGACACCAGAGTTCCTCAAATATCATTCTGCACCTATGTTTATGACAAACCATGACCTCTGCATGTGCAAGTCATTTTCATCCAGGAAACAAAAACTCTCATCCGTTTTTATTTTAAAAGTCTAATATGCATCTCGCAATAAAACAGGCTGCTTTGGAAGTGTGCTGTGAATCACTTTGACACATATACAGGGCAGAGAGGCAAATAAAAATATCGATATGGAAATAACCTATCGACTCTGTGACGGTCTCGTTTGAGTTTGCAGCGTACAAAGAGACATCAGTCTGTTTTATAACCGGCTTTAAACTCCTCACAGGAACTTTAACAAGTGTTTTGTACTTTATGACTCCGCACCTGTGCAGACGGGCAAAGACGGGGGTCGATCATTTTGCAATGAGAGCTGGTTAAAAAAAACATTTCAAAAACTTGCAATGTATCACGCTCGAGGAGTCATGCACAGATTTATCAACAAATTCTACAATCAGTCAAGTTTCTGCCAACTTTTGTTTCTATAAAACAGTCAGCAAGTGTCATGTTTTCACACACGTGCAAGACAGGACATTTTGCTCCTGTTATTTCCATTTCCATCTATATTAAAAAGGAAATCATCTTCAGAAAAGGTAAAGGGGTAATGGTGGATTTGAAGTGTCTAAAAATGTAAATTCTGGTTGGCTTTTTTGTTTTGGATTTTGACAATTTCAAAAAATCAGAGAATCGAAAAAGACTCAAGTTTTCTGTTGTATCTTTGATCACAAGAAGTACACCGATCTGCAATAATACAGATACACAAAATAAGCCGACTGGTGATGAGCATTTCTTTGTCCTGCGTCAGGAAAAGGGGAAAAGGGGGGGGTTGTCCAATAGGGAGTATAAATGCACTCCTCGAGGTCATCGCTGTCTTCAGACTCATGCTAACATATAAAGCAAGACGTCTGGTCGCAGGGCGTGTGGACGGCAGCCAGAGGGATACTCTATCCCCCTGAGGAAACCCCATCCTCAGGCCTCAGGAGAATGGCTCTTTTGTAGCGCTGACATGTGAGGCATTATTGTTTAAAAAAGAGCCCTTGTCCTGGGTCTTACCTTTTAATGCCTAGCTCATCCGCGGTAGCAGCAACAGAGTGTGGTTTCTCGTGTTAAGCCATGTGTGGTCTTGAAGTTAAAAAAACAACAACACACAACTGACGCCGTGCAGCTCAGCATGTTTTGCTCAAGTCTACTGATTTATTATGTTACTGCTACGGCGTCCTGCTTCCCGTAGTCTCGCCTCCTGTAGCTTACTGTGACCGTTTCAAAACACGGTCGGGTTGTTTTGTAAAGAAAAGAGGAACGTCTTGTCGCCTTTTTGTTTGCAGCCCGTATTTCTTCACAAGCTTGCAAAGCCACTGTTGTGCACTTTTATATATCAATATAATACAGAGACATTTTCTATTAGCAAAGATGTTCCAGTAGATCCAATGTTTTAGATTTGGACAAGACTACCTCTCGGATACAAGGATTTTTAAGCAGCTGTAAACCATGTTTAAATGTGATATGATTGCCGTCCTTATTGCTAAGTAGCCTAATTCCAAGGTAAGCTATCTTTAGCAGCAACTTGGTTAGCAGCAGCTGGGCTAGCGGCCCGTCCTGCTGCTTGTGTGTTCGCCCCCTTTAGAGTGATATTGGCTACATATTTAGAGAGAAACATTAAAAAAAAAAAGTATTTTAAATTTGAATTAAAGTGACTTGATGTTTTCTGGGGAAACAATTAGTGGTGGCCAGTTGGGAGGTAGCAGCTCAGCTAGCAACAAGTCCTGATGCCCCTTAGCTGTGCTCATTGCATCAGAGAAATTACATTTTTTTAAATTAATTGAAGTCAAATGAATTTAACTTGAATCAAAGAACTGAAAAGAGTCAACAGAAAGCACTGCTTGTTGCTCACAGTACACTGTTGGCTGTAAACGTCAAGGTTCACTTTCTTCTGAATGGTCAGCTATCTGGAAGCCTTCGGGGGGGGCAGAACGCTGCAGGGCTGCCAGGGTAGGGTCTGCTCTTCAGTGCTGGTAGAAGAGAGTCTATGTCAGAGGTTTCACCGGCTTACAAAGAGGCTTGAAGCCGTCTTATGAACTCCTTGGTTTCATATTGGGACTATCCATAATGCGCCCTCTGCAGGCTCATCCAAACACCACCCTTACACACCTCTACGCTTCCCTCCTGACAGATGGATCAAGTTCGAGGAGAAGGTGGAGAAGGGCGGCGAGCGCTGGAGTAAACCCCATGTGGCCACGCTGTCCTTACACAGCCTGATGGAGCTCAAAACGCACATCGAGAAGGGAACCATCATGCTGGACCTGGAGGCCACCACGCTGCCACAAGTAGTCGGTAAGAAGGGTTTGAAACTTCACAGTGGGGGGGAATCAAAGTACTCTGAGGCGCAACGTGTAGCCTAATGTTCATCCTTCTTTTTCTACGGCAGAGGTGATCACAGACAGCCAGATCGAGAGCGGGCAGTTGAAGCCGGAGCTGAAGGAGAAGGTCATGTACACGCTGCTACGGAAACATCGCCACCAGACCAAGAAGTCCAATCTGCGCTCTCTCGCTGACATCGGCAAGAGTGTTTCAAGTGCAAGTAGGCTCTTCTCCAACCAAGAGAATGGTAAAAGCTGATAAAATGAGCTCTTTTTTTCTGTCTTTCATATCCTCCAAACTAACCACTCTGTTAGATTTTCATTTCCTAACATAAACTCTTACGACTCCTTTGTTTCCATTGTTCTTTTTTTTTTTTCTTCTCTTCTTTCTTTTCCCAACTTCTCTTCGGGGTCTGTGGTGTCTCTGATCTTCCTCTTGGGCATCTTGGGCGTTAAAGCACGCAACCCCCTCGAGCAGCACCCCGTGCCTTGTTTAAGCCCGCAAGAATTAGAGGAAGCGTCTGAGGTCATGAGGAGCTCCAGCATGGGATACCTCTGTAAGTGAGGTTGCAGCACTACGGCTTAAAAAAGCAGCATAGATGCATTGTGTGTGTATTGCTGAACTAGCATTATAGCTACAGACTAATGCAAATGCTAACCAGAAACACATCAACACAATCAGCCTGATTTTGAAAAGCTAGGGCCTTAAAGGGGATTTTTGGCACCAATGTGATATCAGATAAAGGGAGCCAGTAAAATGAATTACTGAGGAATGAATATAAAGAAAGAGCACAGCATGTCAAATGGACATTGTTTTGGCACAGATATGATGGTTGGAAAGTTCTCATAAGGCTGTTTTCTTAAACATTTCAACATTGTTTCACATTGTGAACAGATTGTAGCGCTGACCGCACCGGCTCAGCTGTCATGCTTTGTTATGTGCTGCAGAAAGTCGACCACGTGTTCACAAACCTTTTTAGCACGCAACAGTTTATGTGGAGGTCTAACAAGTGATTTCTTTTAAAACCATGTTTCCAAAAAGAGTTGGGATCATGCGCTGATATCAAATTCAAAATGTGCACAAACATTCATCCCCCCAAAAAATTGAAAAGTTCAGTTTCAACATCTGATGTTGATTTTGTGCTGTTTTTTCAATCAATCATGCTGTTTCAGTGTTTTTGCAAATCAGAATCAGATTTATTGGCCAGGTATGCATTAAATACAAGGTACAACATTAAATATAAACAATAACAAGAAAAGACTAATATTTACATGACTAAATATGAAACAGTGCAGTGGTGAATAGTGCAAAAGATGCTGAAGTAACATGAGAAGTAAAATGCAGTTATGTGACAGATGAGTCAAATAAGATGTCAGTTACAGTGTTTACATAAATAAGTGTGCATATATTCTCATTTAATTAAATATATATATATATATATATATATATATATATATATACGTACAGTATATGTATATTCACAGTGACTGTTGGTTTAGAGAAATTATACAGTGTTTTAACAAGCGCACAAAACTTCCTGACATTTTTAGGAGCGCTGAACATGAACAGATTCTATTTTTCAAAGCAACTTTTTCCCAGAATTCCCAGACAGACCGGGTGAGCAGACGTGAAAATTCACTAAAATTCACTGAGAGCGAGCAGAAAGAAAGGGGGGGAGGGAGGGAATGACATCTTGGTGCACGTAATGAAGCCGCTTTGCTCACTAGTATGTTCTTCTCCGCACTTTCAATGATACTGTGAACACGTCCAATCACAGCAAGCATTGATACAAAGGCAAAAAATATTTATCTTACCACCCCACTACCCTTTCTACCCCCCCTCCCTTCTTACAGTAACAGTCTCCGCTGTGAGGTGCAGTAGATTAAAGTAGATTTTATTAAAGGGCTGCCTGACCTGAGTGCATGTGTGAAAACAACACTTTTTTTTTTTGTTTCTGTTCACATTTGTCACACGGTCTCAACTCTTCTGGTGTATACGGTTAAAGCATAATGTATTCTGTAAATTAGTCTCTCTGAAGCATAATGTGCCGCTGGTCATTTATCTCAGCCTGTCAGAACATCGGCTGCGGCTCTGAAAGTAATCAGTAACAGAGAAAACGCTCACAAATCAAACATTTCTGCGGCTTCAGAAAGCTTAAATCAGTCGTAAGAGTGTTTTGAACATTGTCTTCAGCAGTGATTTGAAGTGATGGACTGTTTTCAAAACTGTGCTGTTCAATAAGTGAAAAATCTCATCCCATGCATGTTTCTGCTGACGCTCATAAGCAGCTGACCTAAGACGGCCTGCTATCCTCACTCTCCTCTCTCTCTCTCTCTCTCTCTGAATGAAAGGCCATCTGGCATAAGTCCTAAAGCTTAAGCCTCTCCACATTTAGCTTTAGTTTTCTGGCTCTCTTCGGTACTTGTACCTGCTGCTTCTTTTCTTTTCTTGGATTCGTTTTTCCACCTGGGCCCAAAAATGTCTCATTTACTGTTCTGCCCCATTGTGTGTCCTCAACTGTGTCTCCCCCCCTCTCTGCAGGTAGTCCGACCACTGCCCATAGAAACCTCACCTCCAACAGCCTGAGTGACTTCTCTGACAAACCAGAGAAGGATCAGGTAATATTTGAATGTCTCTTGTCTGTCTTTGAGGATACTTAAAGGACTCTGTTCACAAAGCAGGTCATGTGTTAGTGCACTAGTTTGTGAGCCTCACATACTGTACAGATAGATAAGAACCCCCCGCCCCCCCCGCCTGGCCGTCCTCCCTCTAATACAAAAAGCTCACTGTTAGTTTCTATCCTCAGTTTCTCTCTCCTGCCATGACTCATGATCGAGTAGCAACCTTCAAACCGGACGTGGAGAGAAAGACCCCAGAGGCAGCTAAAGTGAAACAACCTGAATTAACGCTCCAGCAACAGTTGATGAATCTGCATGCGTGTCAGAACCCGTTGACCCCAAAAAAAAAACAACAAGGCTGGAGTTAATCATCCACTCCATGGAAGTGGGAGTCTTTTTCTTTCATGGAGTTCAATCCAAAGGGAGCAGATTTCACTTTGCATGTCAGTTAAGGAGACGTTTCCTGGGCTGTTTGTTTTTTTAATCAGGTAGCATAAAGTCACTCTGCACATAATACAAGGAAAGGGCGGGCACGGCCTGTTCTTAAGGACACCACATAAGTCTCTGCCATGTTCCTTTTTTTTAATTGCATTTTAATCGCTCCACTTTTGTTTCAAACGTCACACAAATCATCGTACAGTACGGCATGTGACAGGAAAACGGGAGCAAGACTTGGAGTGTGAAATGAACTTCTGCAGTCTTCGTTACAACTCTTTCACTCCCTAACTTTATCTGTCCTCTCCTCTCCTCCTCTCTGTCTGTCTCCTCTCCTTTACTCTCGTGTCCTCTCCTCTCATGTCCTCTCCTCTCTCCTCCCCTCTCCCCTCTCCCCTCTCCCCTCCTCTCTTTCCCCTTCTCTCCTCTACTCCTCTCCTATCGTGCCCTCTCCTCCTCTCCTCTTTCCTCTCCTGTCCTTTCCTCTCCTCCTCTCCTTGTGTCCTCTCCTCTCCTCTCCTCTCGTCTCCTCTCTGTCTGTCTGTCTCCTCTCCTCTCCTCCTCTCCTCTTGTGTCCTCTCCTCTCGTGTCCTCTCCTCCTCTCCTCTCCTCCTCTCTGTCTGTCTGTCTCCTCTCCTCTCCTCTCCTCCTCTCCTCTCGTGTCCTCTCCTCTCCTCTCCCCTCCTCTCCTCTCCCCTCCTCGCATGTTTCCATATTTCTTCTTACAGTTAAAGAATAAATTCATGAAGAAGCTGCCCCGTGATGCAGAGGCGTCAAACGTGCTGGTCGGAGAGGTAGACTTCCTGGAGACTCCCTTCGTGGCGTTTGTCCGTCTGCAGCAGGCCGTCATGTTGGGCGCTCTGACTGAAGTCCCTGTGCCCACGAGGTAACGCACACAACAATGACATTTTCACTTAAAAAAGAACTTGGAAACAATCCATTCCTCGATCTCTAAATGTGACCTTGTGATTTGTATTCCTGCTGTTTCTCAGGTTTCTCTTTGTCCTGCTGGGCCCCAAAGGCAAAGCTAAGTCCTATCATGAAATCGGAAGAGCCATTGCCACGCTGATGTCGGATGAGGTACATCATCACTTTGACTAACTATTTTTAAAAGTTCAATCTTAACTGTGCATCAAGGTTTTGTTTTGGTACGAGAAAGTTCTACTGTTGACCTTGAACCCTAAGATGCATCGTTTGTGCTTCAAGTCCTAGCACAACATTTAACACCATGAACACTGGTTTGTTTGAATCTGTGAAGCTTCAGCGCTGCAGGACAACGAGAAGGATCGTTTGCTATTCTGAAGCCGCTGAGCTCATCCTTTAACGCTCTGATTGGACTGATTAGGCTGTAATTGGTTGTGAACCTAAGTTAAGGGCATCTGGAGCTCTCTCTTGGAACGCCTATCCTCCGGATTGGTGGAATACCTCGTTAAGGCTTTGTGGAAGTTGCTGGACCAAAGATTAAGGGCGCCTATTCTTTCCACCGTACATGACACTGATGCTGATGAGTTTGTTTGTGAGGTCCTACATAGGGTTGTTTTGTTTTTGTTTTTTTACCAGGGAGTGCATCAAGTTTTTGTAAACGCATTTTCTGCACTAGGAAAAGTTTTTGATACCACATGTTCCATGCAACACAATCTCCGTTATTTTAATGATTTGATGGGATCAAAAAGTCCCAAATCTTTAAAAAGTAAACCGCCCAGATCTCATCATATCTTATTTTTAAAAACCCAAAGTTGCTGCGAGGGAAAAGAGAGAGAGAGCGAGAGAGAGAGAGAGAGAGAGAGAGAAGCTGTGCTCCATTTAAGAACACAGGTCTACAAATACTGTCAACATTAGCATGCTAGCAAAACAATGCAGGACACAGGCGATTTGCAGCTCGAGGAAAGGACGATTTTGCCCGCTGCTTAATTATGGTGCGTTCAAATTGATAACTCCTTTTGTGCAAACGTGAGTGGAGAGTGGAGAGTGGAGAGGGGTTGGAGGTGTGTCTCTACAGGAGAGCGGAGGCTTCAGAATAGCAGAGGTGAAGCTAAAACAGCAGTTTGTTTTGGTTTCATGCTGGTGCTCAAGGGCGACATCTACTGGATCAAAAAGTCGCTCATTCTTCCTTTAATAACTGCAGTTTTTCTTTGTTATTTATTTATTTTGGGGCTGTTTTTGCCAGCTGAAAGGACACAGGAAATGTTGGGAGGAGAGAGAGAGAGTGGGGGATGACATGAAGCAAAGGGCAGAGGTCACATTTGAACCCACGGGCCGCTATGACGAGGTCTATTTCCTCTTTACTTCAGGCGTGCATCATGACCACCAGGCTATCTGACACCTCTTATCACAGGTTTTCTGGATAGTCTGGTTGTCAGAAACCAATTTGTGGCTCAATTAGGGACACGTTTGTCAGCAGTAGAGAGGTCAATACAATCTAGTCATTACAGGCTCGTTGTATTTTCCAGTATTTCCAGCTCCGTCTGCTCTGTGTCTCTCTGGTGTGTGTCTCCACTCCGCTCTGACTCAACCTCTCCGAGTTGTCAGGAATGTTGACACACATTTCAACAGGGGTCCTTAACCCTGAGAGCACCTTAACTCACACATTCCCACAGATCCCCCGACTCTTCCCCGCTGTATCTCATGTGTCAACAACGCGGGATAGGAAGTGTGTTTTTCCTGGATTTCCTCAGGTTAAACTTTACCCTCTCTGACGTCGTGTGTGTGTGTTTAGTTAGAGGTTTATCAGATTCTCAGTAGTAAGTTACCGGCTTGTATCGGTGGGTATCAAAGATTAGGTCTCTGTATTTGTTTACATTGTGAAAGAGTTCAGATAAATCCTGGTGGTTGTCAATATTATGTACAGGGGGATGCCGTCATTTCACAGTCTGTTATCAGAAGTCTCTGGGATGGAGCAGTTGCACATTTTTAGGTTTTTTCTTTTTTCTCAATCCTGAATTTTTAGGTACAGATCAAGGTTTTTATCTTGAATGTAAACTACAGATAAAACAACAGACTTTGGGACATATGACGTAGTATTTGTCTGATTAATACGATGTTGCTAATGGTTTGTTGTCCTGCAGGTTTTCCACGACATTGCCTACAAAGCGAAGGACAGACAGGACCTGCTGGCGGGTATCGAGGAGTTCCTGGATGAGGTCATCGTCCTTCCCCCGGGAGAGTGGGACCCCGACATCAGGATAGAGCCCCCCAAGTCTCTGCCCTCCTCAGATAAGAGGTCTGCTCTAAGCTACACCATAAATCACTTTTAACTCATCATTTTTGATTATTTAAAGGCCTAATTGTTATGCTGCATTTGCATAATTAGGGGTGGGGCTATGTTGACTGACAGCCGGACTTGTTGCAGGAGGCTTAAGGCCCCCTGGCACAGCTACATCGACATAAATAGACTAAGATGGAACCAAAATATAGTAGATCTAGAAGCACATGTAAGACACTTAAAAGCCAGACAGCATAAGACAGGACAGTAATACCTTACACCTAGCAGAGCACACAGGACAACAACACAGGCCTACATAGGGCTCAGCGTTTTCCAATATAGCAACCGCCAAGGAGCCATGGGCTTCATGACAGCTATTCAGAAACCGATGTGTGTCGTCACTGAGGCTACGTCTGCAGAGGCTTGCTAAGAGCTACAATCAACCACCCAGCTGTCAGTCAACCCAGCTGCACCTGTAATCATGCAGATTTACGCACAACTTTTTGCCTTAAGAAACGGGCTGAAGGCCCCAAACTGTTTTTATCCCTAGCTGTAAACATGTTTATTTCTGCTGTAAAACTCCAGGAACTGCAGTTTGTTGCACTTTCACTCTGGCTTAATTCTTCAACACCGGTTTCACATAGTTTCTTGGTTTAAAACTTTAAATGGACAGGCCCCAAAATGGCCCACTGGTTAGTTTGCACGCCCCAATGTAAAGAGGCTGTAGAGTCCTCGAAGTGGGCAGTCCTGGGTTCGACTCTGGCCTCACACCCTCGTTGATATGTCTCTATCCACTGTTCTATTTCTACAATAAAAACACCTTTACTGGCCTTTTCCATGACATACAGATGTTTACTTTATTTACATATTGAGATTGATTTTTGTTTGTGTGGAAACATAAATCTGATGGTCTGTCTGTCTGTCTTGTTTTAAAAAGGAAGCACATGTACGCTGGATTAGAGGCGCCTCAGATGAACGGCGACACCCCCCACGATGCGGGACACGGAGGGGGAGGAGGACACGAGGTCGGAGAGGAGCTTCAGAGAACTAGAAAGTAAGAAGAACTCAATTTCTTAACAACACATCATCCTCAGAGGTGCATCTTTGAATAAACTGTGTAGAAACTAAAAAAAGTGACACTACAGCCCTTGTGCGAGTCAAAGTCATGACCAGGAAAAACATTTAAGTCTTAATTATCTCTTCTTGCAAGTAAGTTTGCAACAAGGAAGTATTCCCGGCATGGCTCGGAGCGTTTCAGAACTAGATAACTTCTTCCTTCATACTTCAGGAACAGGCTGTCCTTTCTTTATCTGCTGCCACAGTTATGACATTTAAAGGAGCTGCTAAACGTGTTGGTTTGCATTTTTATTTTTATTTTTTTAAGGTTCTGTGGAGGGCTCATCCTGGACATCAAGCGGAAGCTGCCGTTCTTTGCGAGCGACTTCTACGACGCTCTGCACATCCAGTCCCTGTCGGCCATCTTGTTCATCTACCTGGGCACGGTCACCAATGCGATCACGTTCGGGGGGTTGCTCGGAGATGCTACAGAGAACATGCAGGTAAAGAAAGACCCCTAATGTAGAATCACATCTCACAGCTCATGCATATTTGGTGCCTTGAAGTAGTTGATCTGAAACTTTGTGTTATGACTTCTGACATAATTTAACTAGATGTATGAAACCCACAAATAACTACATTGTAAAAGTTAAAAAGCTGTAACTGTAGACAGATCTGTCCAGTTTGGGATTAGTTTGCAGTTCCCTTCATTAGGGCCTGTGTTCTTTTTCCACCAGCAGCAACCACAATCTCCTTTTACAGAGCGCTTCTCATCAACTCTCATTGTTGCTAGGTTATGAAAATGTACTTCTGCTTCCCTCTGATATGTCAGTAGGCGTGTTTTTCGATAGTTCCATGTTTTTAGTATTTGCTTAATTAAAAGTAAACATCACCAAGAAGACTTGATAACGATGTAAAGGAGTCATGTCCTGACATCAGCTAAAGATTCCCCCTCGAAATGACAAGACTCCTCCGCCATTGTTGTTGACAAAGCTGATACCAGAAGTCCCGCCCCTTCTTGATTTTGATTCGCCTGTGAAGGAGAGGTGACATTGACAAGTGTGGAGCTGTTCTAAAAGTTCAATCTGATCTTAAAAACAGCTGATGCCGAGAGTGGAAATTTGCAGGACAACATTTCTAGAGGCAGATGATGTCAGATCCCGACTTTCATCTGAAGTTTAGGTCAAGCTTGATCCTACGTTTCCCATAATACATCTGAGCCTTTATCACACATGAACAAAACTCCAGAAAAAAAGCTCCAGAACTTTTCAATCTTCATGAGTGCACACAAACGGCAACTGGACTCTTTCCTGCCAGCTCCCTATGTGTGAACACGGCAGATACTTTCAGTTAAGATCCACAGCGAGTGAGTGAGTGAGTGGGCGAGGTGATGACGTCAATGTCATGTGATCGCTGCTGCCTTTGTGCACGTAATGCAGCTGTTTCCTGCTCCTATTTCCCCATTAGGTTCTAACAAACATCCATGGATTTGGATTTGGAAAATCTTTATTGTCCCCGAGGGGCAATTTGGTTTGCAACAGAGGTCCATACAGTCAATACATCCATTAAAAAAAACAGCACAATGACATAAATACATGCATATAAAACATAACTACCATATCACCATGATGGACGTGAGTGAGACATGCAATACTTCCAGTTACATTATTTTCTGAACTGAACATCAAAGTCTCCCTCAAAGGTGACATACCCTCCTCCTCCTCTTTAGTGTAAAGAAGTCTCAGAGCTCCTCAAAACATGTGTGTGAAGTTTCTTGTTCTAAATCCACTCTGATCCTGTATTTGATCATGTCTATAAACCCCTCTATTTCAGCCCTGCTCAGAACAGGCTGTTTCTGTGTCTGTACCTTTAAATATGTTAATGAGCTGTGTCTGACCACGCCCTCTCTGGAAGGGCTTGGGTGTACTCTGTGCTTTCTTGCTCCATGTCCTATTGTTTACGGTGAGAAGGCAGACTCAGAGGGCAGAACAAACACCTAGCTGTGGGAGTGTCACCCACCTGGGGGAGGGGCTACTGCCCTTTGTGATGTCATGAAGGGAAAATCTCCAAACGGCCTGTTTGAGCACACATTTTCTGATAAGTGGAGCAGGCAGAAGACGGAGAGGATGGACTTTTCTCATCATTGGGGGTTTATAGACAGACTAGAGACGCATGTTGGAGTTAGAGAAACATGGTGAAGTGTATTTTTCATACGTGACCTTTAAACAGACATGACACGGTTATGATTTAATCGCAGCACTTCCTCTTTGTGACCTGGAAGGGAGTTTTACTCAGTTCAAATGAAGCATTATGAAACCTCGGTATTGTTTGATAGATTGTGATGCTGAAGTTGGCTGAGGTTTGATTCCGGGATTATTTTCTGTTCACACTGGTGAAGGTCACTTCATTAAAGAGCCAATCAGCGCGGCTTAATTGGCTTTGATGCACATGTCCATGCATATTGTCTCGCTACAAAACAAAAGGGATTGGACAAAACTTCAATAACACTAAAATATAAATCGCCCTGTTGACTCGTTCGGGTAAATTATCGCTGCTGCCAAAGGTCCATATTAGGCGCTCTAAGCACATTTAACTATGAGGCACTACTTCATGGCTCCTTAACGATGGTTGCTTATGATTTGAACAGAATTTAATGGGTCGGAGAAGAAGCTGACAGCAGGATGAAAGAAGGAAAGGGCAGCGGTGAAAAAGATGAAGCGTGGAGAGAGGTGACCCTGACCCCATATTTCAGTGAATAAATACATTGACCCTGCACTTGACCTTTTCAGGGTCTTATTACATTCTTCAGTCAATCAGATATCTTGTTGTATCTTCATATAATTGTCTTGCAATTTATCAGTTATTGCAGTTTTTGTGAAATTATCGTTATCTTGTAGCTATCACATCTCGTCTGGGATCATCTTGAGTATCCCTGCGAGTAACACTTCTACAAGACAAAGTCCGTTCCCCTCCTATTAGATTTATGAGCTAGTGTCGCCTGTCGCTGGCCTGAATGGAATAATATTGAATCTGTTGTGAGATATTTGTTGTTTTTCCACCTCCCTGTCAGAGCTCCCTATTGTGAAGTCACAGACTAATTAACACCAAATAGAGTTCACTTCAGCTGATAAGCCATGCTAATATGGAGCTCAAAGGCTCATACTGCATCCATCTGTTGCACCTTCTGTTGACAGAGCTACATACGGAAGAGAGTCGCACATTTCTGGTGAAGAGTAGCGCACATTGCTGCGTGCTTCCTCATGCACCGCATACCTTTTGTGTAGTTAGAGTACTGAGAGGTTGGCCAGTCATTGAAAAAGGCGCTTTGGCTTCTGAAGAGAGCTGCCTCCCTGCACCACCACCACCACCACCACCGCAGCAACCTCAGGGATTTACCTGCGCTGTAAATAACCACAGATCCAGATTACTCCACTGCAGCCTTGTCATGGCTGCATGTCTAATGACCCCCCCCCCCTCACACACACACACACACACACACACACACACACATCCCTTTTGCTTTCCCACTCTGAGCACAGCGGAGGGCTTCCCTGCTCTCACTTGACCTCTCCTCAGCTCAGGATATGAAAATTTAAACTCACATTTTTTTTCGCTTATCTGTGAAGCAATAAGCTTTTAAAATACAAACAGTCAGAACAACTGACAGGAATGGAAACAGGCTTGTCCTGATTGGCTGGCTGTCGCAATAACTGTGTATTGTTTGGAGGGAAAACAAAGCTCCCTGCTGAGTGAGCAGAAATATTGTATATATTTTTGTAGTCTGAGAGAAAGCTGATTGTTTCTTTTCATCCATGTTTATTTACAGTCTATACAATCTAGCCAGTGTATGAGTCATGACTGTCTACAATGGGTGTAACACCCCGAGTCCCACTGTCTGTGATGTTTTCAGAGTTTTCAGAGTCCTATCTTCACTTTGTTTACATCGCCAGGACGGCCGGCTGACTCCTCCCCTCGTGTATAAAAGTTGTTTAATTGAGGGACTAGAGAAAAGAAGAATAACATACTGTACTCACTGCTTAACTGTGTTTCTAGATCACGCTCATTTCAGGTAAATTTACATGCAGTGTGAAGATACCAGCAGAATAAAGATCGCTAGCATTAGCATGCTAACACAACAATGCTGCGCGAGTTGTTATGGTTTCATGCTGGTGCTCAAGGGCGACATCTGCTGGATCAAAAAATCACATATAAAGCCTTTCATAAAAACTGTTAAGGTAAAAGTTCTTGCCCAAACCTTTTGTAAGAAAAAAGAGCAAACTTGTTGAATTATTAGTCATGTGTTATTTTAGTTTCATTATCGCACCGTGCTGCGCTCAGTGTTATGAAGTAATTTTTTTAGTATATTTGTGTCCTTGTTGTTCTTGTAAATGTGAAGTTATTTCTGCTTATATAATCTGTCATCTTTCAGGAGCTCATTTTGTATTTCTTTGCCCCGTGTGCTGTCTTGCAGGGAGTGTTGGAAAGTTTCCTGGGTACGGCGCTGACGGGAGCGGTGTTCTGTCTGCTGGCTGGACAGCCGCTGACCATCCTGAGCAGCACGGGCCCCGTGCTCGTCTTTGAAAGGCTCCTCTTCAACTTCAGCAAGTGAGTGTTTTCCTTTCTGATGACGCTGGTTCAGGGTGACCGAGGGTTCAGACACAGCCTGAGGGGGCCCGGGGGAGATATTTATAGATCGTGGACCATGATGTTGTTTGTGTGTTTCCAAAAAGATGCTTTCCTTGTGACCTCTTCAAATAGAATAGAAAATGGGAGCGTTAAGAATGCAGGCCGATAAATCACATTCACGCTAAGCTGCTAGTTTCTGTTTTGATTTAATCCAAGAGGAACTTTTTGTTCTCACTGAATATCCTGTGCAGTATTTGCCCTCAACTCCCTGTCCTGCTTTATTCAGAGACAAGTTAAGACTCTTAAGTAGTTCATAAAAAGAAAAACCCTGCTCACACAATATCTTAACTCAACTTTCGGGTTGAGCTGCATGTCAACTTTATCCAGATTTTTTTTTACCTGTGGGACTCCTTGGAAAAGTTGCACAGAAAAAAATTGCTCAATAAGTCGGGGGTGAGTCGATGCATGAACACACAAAAGGAAACATCCAGAAAAACAATTCACCACCAGTGAGTTGGCAAGGATGATGATGATGCTGCTGCTTTGTACGGTCTAAAAAGCCTGCTGCACACAAGATGAAGATTTTTCAGAGATATTTATGGTCTCGGTCTTGGCTCAGTTTCATCCTGATTTGGTCTTTGTCTTGGCTCGGTCTTGATCCCCTAAATGTCTTGGTCTTGGCTTGGTCTCGATCTCCTAAATGTCTTGGTCTTGGCTTGGTCTCGATCCCCTAAATGTCTTGGTCTTGGAACACTCCGGTCTTAGGGTATGTCTTGGTTTCGGGTTAGTGTGGTCTGGACTACAACACCATTTTGGAGAGGGTTGTTTTTAAGTCTGGCTCTTCGATGGTGCTGTAAAGAAAATCCAAAGGTATTTTTTTGAGAGCTGTCCTGTTAGATAACCTGTCACATCAGGTCCATCCTTCAGACATGTTGCATGTTAAACCTATCATTTCTTGTGGGTACTTAAGGCTGTTAATGCTGTCCTCTCCCTCCTCCTCCTCCCCCCACTGTACTCTCCTAGAGAGACTCTTCTAGCATTACCAAACAGCATGCTGCTTATGTTCCACCATCAATAATTCACTCTCATTTAATTTTACACTGTGACTGAAGAATGTTGTGGCGACCGTGGCCTCTGAATGTTTCCACGCCCGGAAGAAAAAAGCTGCCGAGTCAGCTGCAGCTGCTAGCCGTGTCTTCGACTGGTATATGTTGACCTCGGGGGGTTATATTCTCTAGACCGGCATGATAGGAGAAACCTATACAATGCATGATAACATAGCTCAATGACAATGTGAAGTGCGATTTTTAAAAAGAAGAAGCATTTATTAAGGAGTGCATATTAGCTGTTGCTCACATGCAGGTAAACATTTAAGGCTTTATATGTGATTTTTCACACTTAAATGTAATAGAAATCAAGTATATCCTCTGAAAATAAGTCTGTGAGTCATGACTGTCTACAATGATGTTTTCAGAGTCCTATCTTCAGTTTGTTTACATCGTCGGGACGGCCGGCTGACTCCTCCCCTCGTGTATAAAAGTTGTTTAATTGAGGGACTAGAGAAAAGAAGAATAACATACTGTACTCACTGCTTAACTGTGTTTCTAGATCACGCTCATTTCAGGTAAATTTACATGCAGTGTGAAGATACCAGCATAATAAAGATCGCTAGCATTAGCATGCTAACACAACAATGCACCGCGAGTTGTTTTGGTTTCATGCTGGTGCTCAAGGGCGACATCTGCTGGATCAAAACATCACATATAAAGCCTTTAAGTCACAATATCTGTGATTACGAAATGTCTCTCCTGACTTCAAAATATCTCCATAAAGATATCATTCTAATATTTTTCATCAGTCACCAATTAATCTGAGGTTTTCCACCCAGTAGGTGAAATACTTCAAACACATGCTGAGTGAGAAAGCATGGCATTACCACAAAGCAATTGTTAATATTTGTTGCGCTGGATTTAGACTTTGTTGTGAATGCAACGATGAAATTGTGAGCCGCTGTGGTTCATGGTTGATCTGGGGTTCAATCCCTTTTCCGTATTTTTCTTCCATCAGTGTGTAAAATGTGACATGAAGTGTAAAAAAACCCCAGATGGGAGTAAATGTTCCATATTTTAGTTCCACGTATAAACGTATATTCTGCAAGTAAAGCCAACACAACTCACCGTTTTTAATTTAATTTAATTTTTTTTACCTTTCTCCTCAGAGACAACGACTTCGACTACCTCGAGTTCCGGCTGTGGATCGGCCTGTGGTCGGCCGTGTTCTGTCTCCTGCTGGTCGCCACCGACGCCAGCTTCCTGGTGCAGTATTTCACGCGTTTCACCGAGGAGGGCTTCTCGGCACTCATCAGCTTCATCTTCATCTACGACGCGTTCAAGAAGATGATCAAGCTGGGCCACTACAACCCCATCAACGCCGGCTTCGATGCCAACTTGATCACCCAATACGACTGCAACTGCATACCTGGTTTGTAGTTTTTTAGCTCTGAAGATAAATGTTCTATAATGGGAAAGTGAAGATCGATTACAGGAGTGGCTTTTTGTGTCCTGATGACTGATAGCACCATCCCTTTCTGTTAAGCTCCTCATTGTTGTTTGTTTCTGGCGCCGTCTGAATCTCAGTATCATCCCTCGATGATACCAGACGGTGAAAACTGAAAACTAAACACTCGTATTCTGTTTTCTATTTGGCACTGATGTTACCATTGTGCTTAAAACAAAGCTCCCTACTTCTTTTGCCGTGTTTACAGTGGAGATAACAAATGATACTCGTATGTGTCGGCCTGTAGATACCTCTGTTTACTTTCTCAACCACCTTATCAGTTTTCTGTGACCTGGCATGATTGTATTGGAGAGAGATTTTGACACCGGTTCAAACAGGAATGGGTTGTAAAGTTTTTCTCATCATGCTGATAAGATGTTGTTGTTTCTTTTTTTTCACCAGGCAACTCGTCAGATCTCCTTGACCTCTCGCCCTGGACAAACAGTTCTGATCTGGTACGTGGCGTCCTTGTTCTTGGGAACATTATTAAATTCAGAATGTTTTTTTTAATCCAAAGCTTGTTCCTTTTCCAATCAGTAAAGATATTCACAGAATTAAAAAATAAAGTGAGCTTACTATATGATCAGACATTAAGGAAACATGCTATGTTGAAGTGCTGGCTTCTCTGACAACAATGCAGCAGCCAGTATGTCCTCCTTCTAACTTTAGATTCTGCTCCTGAATGCTCTGGATTTGTTTGGACCAGAGAAGGTAGGCGCTTTTAAGGCACCCCCCACACGGCCGTTTTGGACGCCCCTCGGTTTGCCAGATATGAGAGCAGTTATCAGGTCAACAGGTGTTGCAGCGATGGAAGCGGGCAAGAGAAGTGGTTCAGATAGAAGTGATTGTACCCGACCTAAAAAGCCTCTGCATGTTTCTAATAAGCTCCACGAGCAGAAACGTGCTCAAACTAGGATCAATTTTGGAGATGCTTTTGAAAAATGGAGAGAGGTTAGAACACAGAAAGGTTTACAGACCCATGCAGAGCTGGATAAACACTGAAGCTTCAGAGTCCACCACATGGGGACCTGAGTGAGCATCCACTCTAGAGAGGAGGGGGGGAGACAGCTCTCTATGATGTTTAGAATTTGGACTGCAGTACCTGTTTTAAACACTAGGGGTCAGAGTTACATATGGCTTTTTTAAAGAAACATTTTGTCTTTCTGTGTCCTCAGCCAGTGAACACCACCTGGGCGACCCTGACCAAGAAGCAGTGTCTGCATTACGGAGGTGAGCTGGTCGGAGACGCCTGCGGCTACGTGCCTGACATCACCCTGATGTCTTTCATCCTGTTCTTTGGGACTTACACCTGCTCCATGGCTCTGAAGAAGTTCAAGACAAGCCGCTTCTTCCCCACCAAGGTGAGTGATATTCAGCCACCAATGAAGAGTCACAGTTTGTTCATTTCTGCCCACGTGCCAATCGCTAAATGCATCAAACATCGAGTGATATTTAAAGATTACACGTGAAGAGGTAGGCCTCTTTAGAGAACATGTTGTGTAGGCTACATTTCTAAGTTAACAACAACAAAAACTACACCCAACAGCTCATTATTCAGCAGGGTATTTTGGCTTCACTTTTTTAACAACAGATGGAGACGGAGATGTGTTGTCCATATTACTATCACAGTCAATGATTTCACCTGTATCCACCACCTTTCTCTGCCTTTCCTGAGAGACTAGCTAGCTCGATTTATCTTCAACTCTGACAAATGATTCTCAAATAAATCTCCATTTAGTTGACAAGCTCAAGATACCATGCTCACCGTCTTGACCATGTTTTGAAAGCTAGCATTTGCTAGTTAGCACAAAGCGCTACATTTTGTAGATTTCCTATCATCACTGCGCTTACAAAAGCAAAATCTCAAACTCAACTTGATGTCTGTCCCCGTTTCAGAAGTTAAACAGCCAGTAATCCTTTCCTTCCACATGCTTGAAAAATGAAACGCTATAAATCCTGTTCCGATGTGTCTCCCCTTCCAGGTGAGGAAGCTCATCAGTGACTTTGCGATCATCTTGACCATTCTCCTCTTCTGCGGCGTGGACGCCTTCGTCGGTGTGAACACCCCAAAGCTTATAGTGCCAACGGAATTCAAGGTAAGCGCCTCACAACAGATGGAAATTAGCAAGCTAGCTAGCTAAATCTGGTACAAAGCATCTCTTCTCTTCTGAGACTGATGTTTTTTTTACACCGTCCCTGATTCAAATAAACGATTTAACTAACTAAGCATGTTTGAAATCAAGTTCTAAGTTGGGGAAAAAAAAAAAAAAAAAAGGCCAGCCAGGTGCTCACAGTTTTCTCTGATTACGCTGATAATGATCCATGTTTCCTCTCAGCATAATGCTTTCTTTATGGTCCGCCCAGTTAGTGATACGCATTACCTGAAACACAATCACAGTCAGGCTCGTGTTTTAAAACCTGCTCCTGCAGCCCTGACGGGGGAGGAAGGGGATGGTGGGGCAGAGGAGCCGGGTACCTGCATCGAATAACATCTTGATTATCGGAGATTTGAGAACACGCAGGACTTACAGAGGCCGCTTTGTTTGACCACAGAGTCTTTAAAGTACAGATTTCTGACTTGCAATGATGCACCAGTAATGTCAGACTCTTTTCAGTGTTTCATTTTGTGAAAGGGTCGAGTAGCTGCTTCAAGTTTTTTTCAGTTTTATTGGAAATGTAATCCATGTCTCTGTGATGTGGACTCAATGAAACCTCTGGTCAGGTGTTGCTTTAGCAGTGTTGTTCTTCCTCTTTTCTTCCAGCCAACGAGTCCTCATAGGGGCTGGTTTGTCAAGCCCTTCGGAGGGAACCCTTGGTGGGTGTACCTGGCTGCGGCCCTCCCCGCTCTGCTGGTAACCATTCTCATATTCATGGACCAACAGATCACTGCGGTGATCGTCAACCGGAAAGAGCACAAACTGAAGGTTTGTACATTAACTTGGAAGATCTACTGACATTTCAAATCCTTGCATGCAATCAATGAATAATAAGTGGTCGGAGCTCGTCGTCGAGTGTCATGATTGAGTGTGTTGTACATGAGTCCACATTTTGGATGCATGAAAGCTAAATGCAAATATTCCAAAATTTAAACAAACATCAAACTGTGCAGCAACTTAAAAAAGTCCATCTGCTCTCAGAAAGGGGCGGGCTATCACTTGGACCTGTTCTGGGTGGCCATCCTGATGATAATCTGCTCGTTCATGGGCCTGCCGTGGTACGTGGCCGCCACTGTCATCTCCATCGCCCACATCGACTCCCTGAAAATGGAGACGGAGACGTCGGCCCCTGGAGAGCAGCCCAAATTCCTGGGTGTGAGGTGAGTTATCCCAGCTGCTTGTCCGGGGTGTTGATCCCATTTCACCCTCCCTATTGTCAGATGGTCATATCTGGCATAGTGCTCAAGGTCAGAACACACAATATGAAGGCTAAGAAGTACATAGCTTGGTATGGGATAGTCCCAAACAAATATATCCACTCTTATGTACTTATTAAGAATAGTGCTGCAACTTTTGAGAATGCCAGGCATTTCATTTAATTTATTTTGGGTTCTCCAGTGGAAATGCATCTCCTAGCAGGTGGCTAAAATGCAGACTAGGACGTTTTTAAGACCATGGGCTGTAATGCTGTGCAGAAAATCCAAAGACGGATAGTTTTCCCTTCTTAGAAATCAAGTTTTACTGATAATGTGAGCAAGCGACAGATCGGGATCCTGCTATTTCCCCATTGTTAAGGTTAACTGATCAATGCAGAACCCCTTTTTTATATTTTTTTCTGTGAATAAAGAACTAATTCTGCGACAAAGGAAAATGGGTTTGTGTGAGAAATACAGCAATCCTGCTCAATCAGTGAAGAAGAAGAGACAATGCAACACAGAAAACAGACAATTATCTCAGAAAAGGAGAAAAAAACTAAACAAATCTTTGCAGAGCTGTAATATATCGATGTACACAGTTATGGACATCATGCATCAAACAGGATTTGAATAATATGTCTGTCCTCTTCTTTGAAAAACTCAAATTAGTTGATACACAATTGTTCTTAATGAAGCTGTAGGGCTGTGAAGTTTGAGACATTCCTCTTAAAAAATAAAAGTGTAAAACTTGAAATCTTATTGTATGATTCAATTCTCATTAATTAAAGAAGGTGAGAACTGAACTGTTGTGTTTCAATCATGTTTTGATTCTTTTTCTTTTGTCACCAATCCAGGGAGCAAAGAGTCACCGGTATCTTTGTGTTCCTCCTCACGGGACTCTCCGTCTTCATGGCCCCCATCCTCAAGGTAGAGCGCTCCCAAACGTCTTAATTCTCCTATTCAAAATCTGGATTACTGTCCACCTCTTTCAGGACAAAGTCGTGTCCGCACCTCCTTAAGTTTTCAATAAATGCAAGCCTTTCATTCATCCGATTACAAACCCTCATAGTTGAGGTAATGCGATGTGAAATAAGCATGTCCATCAGGGCTTAAGCTCCGATTGCAGCTGAGTGGCTTCTCGAGTTTCCATTCCCACATTAAGCTGCCAAACAGAAAAAAATGTGAAGTCACTGAGAGGAGATTGTTGGAGCGTGTACTCCCCCTTGTGGACGTTTTTCAGTACTGTGCTGAAGACCTTGGTATTGTCCTCTTGAGTAGTTTTGTAATATACTGTAAATAAATGAAAATAGGAAATAAATAGGATGATAAGTAAAGTCATGATTAATGCTTTTTTAAAATGCATATTCATTTTTACTATGTTAAACATTTTATTTGTATTTTGATGCACATGTTCTAGCTTGCCTGTGTTTTGCAACAGATTTTTTTCCCTGACTTCTACTTAAAACTTCTCGAGCAATAAATTACCAACCTGCACAAATGTCAGCCAAGTGGCCGTCGACACCGATGTGCCGACTAAAAGAACATTCTTGGATAAGCTGCTTGTGGAGTATTTTTAAACCGAGTGATAGTGCTAAAAATAAACTCCATGTCATTACGTGGATGAAGGGAGTTCCCTCTTCCTGGAATACCTTAAATTGTTAATGGGTTTTAAGAGTAATTCAACATAAACAAACATTTGCCACAGCCACACACACATTGCAGTAATAACTGTTTTCATTGTGTCCTTCAGTTCATTCCCATGCCGGTGCTCTACGGGGTGTTCCTCTACATGGGCGTGGCTTCGCTCAATGGTGTCCAGGTGAGTGAGTTCATTGCCTGCACTGCTTACCTGAGTTTTGAGCAGTTGCTTTAAATTGTTTTTTAATTTATACTTTAGATTTTACTCATTGAAAATGGTTTTTAGGCTATTGCTTAACCAATTACTCAACAGCAAAACTAAAATCTTGTACACTTTACTGATGAATAATTAATTAAGCCCATCAAAGGTGCATTTAAATAACTTTTAAGCCTTCATATCCACGCTCTTTATATTTTACCTGAAGAAATAACAAGACTCTGTGATGTACCATTAGCCAGGATTTACTGTCCAATTGCTAATAATGAGCCTAGTCCCAGGCTTTCCCATGGAAAATAAACTTCACAGATAATGAGCTCATGTCAAGCAGGAGATTTCTGACATGTTTGTCTGTTTGCTTGTTTCAGTTCATGGACCGCCTGCAGCTGCTCCTGATGCCAGCCAAGCACCAACCGGACCTGATCTACCTGCGACACGTCCCCCAGAGACGCATCCACCTCTTCACCTTTATCCAGGGCCTGTGCCTGGCCCTGCTCTGGATCCTAAAGTCCACTGTGGCTGCCATCATTTTCCCTGTCATGGTGAGAAAACTACTCGTGATCACAAACACGCACACAGAACCGTCTCTCGGCTTACTTAAAAATTACAATAAAATAAAACCATTTCTTTGTCTTCAGATCCTGGCTCTCGTTGCCGTGCGTAAGGCGATGGACTACGTGTTCTCCCAACACGACCTGAGCTACCTGGACGACGTCATCCCAGAGAAAGACAAGAAGAAGAAGGAGGATGAGAAGAAAAAGAAAAGCAAGAAGAAAGGAAGCATCGACAGTGAAATTGACTTTGTAAGTATTCTCTCTCAAACTGGACAAAGTTTACCAGAACTCGTTGTTGTCATGTGTCTACAGCCTCCTGTAGATGTAGAAGGGTTAATGTTCTCCCTCCCTCCTCCCACAGTCTGACTACCCCTACCATGACAATATTCCCAGTATAAAAATCTCTATGGATATGATGGAGCAGGAGCCCATGTTGGGGGATAAATCTTTGGATAGTGAGTACTATAGCGAGGGTCTGCTGCTCAAACTAAGCTTTTTGAAGGCTTCCCGCTCAAATTCCTCTCCTGCCTTCACTAGTTTTCTTGCATGCTCTTACAAACTGAATACTTTAAAAGATCAATATCTCCGACCTATTTTTCTTCCCCTTTGCTCTCTCTGACCTTTAAAAAAAAAAAAAAAAAAATCATATTCTGGCTTTAGAAGCAGCTTCTTGGCGCTGGCTTTGTCTTTCCTGCTCCTCCTTCATTTAAGAAATATGTTTTCTAAAAGCTGTTTTTTGTTTCTCTCCTTTCCCCCCTCCAGGAGATCAATCCAAGGCTTTCCTTAACACGCATTCGCCGTGCTGAGCACTACTTTGAAACTGCCACTGTGGCCGAGTGAGTGAGTACCAGCTGGCATTCATTTCACACATTTTCTCTGCAAACAGTAATTCATGCAGCATGCTTTTTTTTTTTTGAGTCGCCTCAGACACTGTATTTATCTTTTTGTTTGGTCTCTCTCTTTTTTGTTGTCTTACAGTCTTGAAAGAGGTGGATACGCAAAAGGTTCCCCTCAGATTCGAATAGAAGGGGACTCTGAGGAGAACGGTTTTGTCTGGAGGAGGAAGGGCTCTGAAACGGATCTGTGAACAAATTATCCAGAAGATGCAGCAGAACCAGCGCAGCATAGCAAACTATAACCGTCCTCTTTTTTTTTTTTGTGTACTATAGCATGTTTAAGGATTTCAATCAAAATGGCTGGAAAATATTTTTGTCTTAAAAAATGTAAACACTCTGGTGGTACTGGTTTGTAATCAGGGCTGAACTGAGTATTTATGTTCTCGAAGAACTAAAAGGGCTACTCGAGGTCACCCATGTGCAGGTTTTATATGCAACACTAATATTTTATGATTGTACGCTATCTTATTCTATAAAGAGTATCGAGCCAAAGATGTCAAATCAAGAAAGATGCCCAGAAAGAAGCTAGTTTTAGAGTTTCATTCTGCATATATCAGGAGTTCCTCCAAAGAACACCGGCAGTAACAGACCTATCTTTTTTAAAGTAAGGTTTTGATTGAATATTGTAGATTATAGCAGTGTAGAATAACTAGCACATCAGTTTTAAGAGTTAAAACTACTTGTATCATAAGATTATTAAAAGAGTGCATTTGCTTTTCTTGTAGTGAACAAAAGGTTGTCGGTGATCCCTCACAAGCTGACGCTAATTTTAAATCAACAGGCAAATTAAATATTAATTTAATCATCGATCAAAGGCTGCATACTCGTCGCAAAGCTAATCTTTGTGTTAGCCTCAAAAAGACTGGAAAATCTGTTTGTTTCGTTTCCTTATCCTTCCCTTCTTCTTCTTTTTCCATATTTATTATATTTAAACTCTGTGCGGAACAATCTGAATCTGAAGTGTGATCTTTTTTTTTCCCTCCCGCGGCGTGGATCCTCTCCCTGTTTTTTGGGTGGAGATTTCAGAGATGTGTTTTTACCTGTGAGTAGCTCTACCTCTTCTGTTTCTATGTAGGTGCCAGGCATCATCCTGTTCAAAACATCTCTCGTGCAATTCTTTGTGATCAAACACTTGATTCATTTTTCTTTCTCGACTGGCACCGTGTAAGACCTCTGAATCTGAATCTTCTAAGTCCTTTTTTTTTTTTTTTTTTGCTTTGTGACACTTAAGATATTATATTTTTGTTAATCAGTATGATTTAATTATGTACGATTTTGCAGTGTTTTATACGGAAGCCCTAAGAGGACGTGAATCAGTACATTTTCTTTTACTCCGTTTCCCCATGATAAAGATTAGATTTGGTTGTTTTCTCCAGATCCCATCTTGAAATTCTGTTATCCCAGTTTTTCCCGTGCAAACGAGGTAATTTCAGTCGTTTTTCCTGAAATCTCAAGATATTAAAATGGCAAAAAAAAGTGTCGTTATCCCGAGATATCCAGACTTAAAAGTCAAAGATCTGCAGAAAACAGGCGGAAATAATCGTCAGTCAAATGGAAGTTTAAATCCACCGAAATCACTTTCTCAAACATTTTAAACGATGTCTACTCGCAGCATGCTGAGAATACTTAAACCTAAAAACTGCCATTTGGTGATAAAACTGCTTTATTTTATTTTTTTCATGTAATGAAGTTGGGTGTTTGATATGCTCACACGCTTGACCGTAGACCCTCAAAGTCTTGAGTTAAATTCACAAATGAAATGTGATCATATTTAAAAACGTTTAATGTGATAAATCCTGAGATTGTTTTTTTTTTTTTTTTTTTAAGAAAGTATGTAATGTGTGTGCGTGCGTTTTTATTATGCAAATCAACAAACAATCACTGTGAGGCTTTGCATTGTTGTCACTTCCTGTCCTGGAGGAGCTTTTTACTGAACAGGGTTCGACGTGTTTGTGCAGCAGGTTGTCTTTTAAAAAAAAAAAAACTGACTCTTCTTCTCGGACAGTATACTCCTGTGCATTATCTGCACTGCTTTATCTGCAATCCATTTAGCGACAGGTTGATTAGTTATGTCTTAAATTCTCTTGTTTGATGACTGATCAGTGAGTTGATCATGCTGATTGAATTGTTTAACTGATTCAGTCAACGTTAGCATATTTTGTGTATATATTTATATAATCCTCGATGGAAGGAAAACAAACAAACATGCACAATCACTGCCGTTTCTGCTCCGTAGTGCTAACAAGGGCTTTTCATCATTTCCTCCTGACACCCATCATAAACTCTCCTTCTCAAAATGTGAAGCACAAAGACTGTCAAAGAACCAGAAAAAACTCCAAAAACCACATCGTCTTCCACTTCCTGTAAACTGCACACCTCGACTTTTGATTCCACAGTAAATGTTGTATTTCTGATGTTTCTAACTCTTGAAATCAATTTTATACAAATATATATTTAGCTCTATAACCATAGGTTACTCCGAAGGACGCAGGTGTCTGTGTGTGTTTTTTATGGACTAGTGTTTCCAATGAGAACAATAAAACAGTCCGAATGATTCTTAAATTGAAGCCTGTGTGTTTTTTTTAAATCACTTGAGAGGAGATGGTGACATGATTTGAGTCGGTTCTAACTTCTAACCAGCACTAGAAACAAAGTTTGTCCAATTTTTCTGATACTTAGACACTTTTGAATACCAACTTCTTAAAGGCTTTATGTGATCTTTTGATCCAGCAGATGTCGCCCTTGAGCACCAGCATGAAACCAAAACAACTGGCGCTGCATTGTTGTGTTAACATGCTAATGCTAGCGATCTTTATTATGCTGGTATCTTCACACTGCATGTAAATTTACCTGAAATGAGCGTGATCTAGAAACACAGTTAAGCAGTGAGTACAGTATGTTATTCTTCTTTTCTCTAGTCCCTCAATTAAACAACTTTTATACACGAGGGGAGGAGTCAGCCGGCCGTCCAGGCGATGTAAACAAACTGAAGATAGGACTCTGAAAACTGTGAAAACATCACAGACAGTGGGACTCGGGTGTTACACCCATTGTAGACAGTCATGACTCACAGAGTTATTTTCAGAGGAGAGACTTGATTTCTATTATATTTAAGTGTGAAAAATCACATAGAAAGTCTTTAAATCTTTATTTTATTTGTCCTATTTTTTTAGCAGGGAGAACCCACTGACACTGAGGTCTCTTCCATGGTTCCTTGCAGCAAAACAAGTGAAGATAGGACAAGAAGAAAACGCAGATAAAATGATCACAAATACTTTCATAAACGCACACTGGGTTCTTGCAAACAGGTTAAAAAGACGTATTGCAACAGTTGCATTAACTTTCACTGGCTCTTTAAAAACAAAGGACGATACGAGGCGGCAGTTTCTCAGTCTGTATGGACCTGGATTGGGAACCAGAGAGTCCTGCTGCGGTCCAAGCTAGGAAATTGATCTGGTAGCTGGAGAGGTGCCAGATGACCTCCTGAGCACTGTTAGATTAGGGCCCCCCTTAGGGAGGTTTCCGACTGTCATTGCAAAATTTGCACATTTTGGGCCGCTTCTTTGGTTTAAAGTTGTCAGCTCTCATGGGCCCCCTACTGGGCTGAGGCCCCCAAGCAAGTTGCCTGCCTTGCTCTGTTGATATAAGCAACACCTCTGAGGTTACCATGCTGCATAGAGGGCGGGCCTACAGAGGGACACGGGTCTCTCTTGTGTCTGCTTGATTTTTATGTAAAGGTCAGTTTTTGTTTTGTAGAAGAGGAACTCTCTGTGGATAATGAGACGTCCATTAATCCCCTCAGAAACAAAGACCAATGCAGGAATGTAAAATGCAGCTTGCTGTTACTGTTTTAGGGACATGGAAGAGGAACAGGAAGTCACCTCTTATCACAGGTAAACTGAGAAAATAAAGCAGATGCATGCATGTCCCTTTAACACCTCGGCAGAAGTAGTTTACTAGACTTCTGTTTGAGCCAACATGGGGTCACAACAGAAGAAAGGAAGTGGAATTTAAACGCAGACACATGGGGTGCACGTGTGTTTTTTAAGGAGATGATTCGGGTCTTATTCAAGCTCAGATTTAAAGCCTAAGGCCCGATCATCACAAGTGTCCGTCACAGCAGAAGATGAAGGGGAAGCTGAATAGTTTCCCGTGATCCGAGGGGTTGGAACAGGCTGTGATGAAACTAATTGGCTCATTAGGATGAGTCACTGTGTTTTTGTCTTTGCCAAAGGGGGGAGAGGGGGGAGGAGAAACATAATTAATTTTCTGAAACGACAGAGGGATCATTTTTTCCCTGACATTTGCTCGGGTTGATTTTATTGCATATTACAGGTGTTTTCCCCGAGTGACTGAATGCGAGCGATGGTGTGACTGTCAGAGCTCAGGAGGGGATTAAACGACCGTCTTAACGAAGTGTCCTGAAACACCCTGAACCTCTGCAGCTGTTTATTCCAACACGGGTTGACAAATCCGATTTATACATAACTTTAACATTCTGTTGTGTGCTGCAACAATCAGGAGTAAAGCTCAATATTTCACAACCTAAATCAATCAAAAAGTATAACCTGCACATCCTCTATGTTGATATACTGTATGTCACATGGTGTACTACAATTCAGCACAAGAGGGCAGTAAAGAGACTGTTTCAAAAACAGCATTTAATGCTCCACATGTAACGTGACCTCAGCTTTAAAAAAAAACAACATGGAAGAGGATTGTTAATACAGCTGATGTTAAAGCATGAAAAACATCTGAGAGATAACAGAATGACCTGTGATGCAACAGATCACTCAATCATTCATTCATTATTTGTATAGCGCTTGAGGTGCTTTAGATGCAAAAGAGCAGATGTGATAATATGCAGGAATGAGTTCTACTTTGTATTCCTCTCGTTCCTGTTGTCCACACTAATTTGCCGCTGAGGTGAAGGTTGGAGCAGGCCGTGCATGGATGAGGACAGCGGTGGTTGTGGATACAGAAGCACTGCAAGTAGATGCAGTAGTTTTAAAGGGTCAGTGCTTCTTTTCTATATATATAGCCCTATATTTTGCTTTAATGCGCAAATTATTAAATAATATTTAATGCAGGAGCCAATATTAGGCTATAAGAGAGCGTGGATTTGAATTTGGCTCTTTAATAAAAAAACCACACCGAGGTAATGCTTTACTTTTGTTAAGTCTATAATAATTTACTACGATGGAGGATTATGGTCACGTTAAAATGTTTTATTTTTTTGAATTTTGAGATTAAAGTCGTAAATTTACGAGAATAAAGTTGTAAATTTACGAGTTCGAGACCAGCCTGCGCTAAAATGATGAGTTTAATGTCGTAAATTTACGACTTTATTCTCCTAAATTTATGAGTTTAATTTGGAAATAAATAAAAAAATAATAAAAAAAATTAACATGGCCCTAATCCTCCGCCGTAATTTACATCCACTGACTTACTGAAAAAAAAATACATTAACACAAAAAAAAACAAAGACAAAAGGTAAATACACAGAATAGCCTCATGTTGAAGTGGATTGCTTACCCATTGGAAGGGTGTTTCTGCACAGGAGTGCTTGTTTCCTCTCATAGGAACTTTCAACATTTCAATCAGGAGAGACGATTAACTGATTCAAAGATAAATGTTTATTTTACTTTGTGATATTGAATGATCGTCAGATAATCTTTGGGGCTTGAACTCTCCAGGGAGACAGAGTGATTGAAGATGTCTGCCCTGAGCGGCAGCAGGATCTATCCCCCCATGGAGTCCAGACACTGGTGGTGGAGGAAGTGTTAGCGGATGATGTCACCTGGGCGTATGCGATGAAGTTGATTGAACTGTGAAGGTGGTTGATGATGTCATCTGAGGCTGAAGGGATGAAGAGACTGTACAGACTGTGAAGACATGGGATTGATCGGATGACATCTGATGCTGTGATCTGAGGCTGATGGGAGGAAGAATGTGATGAACTAGCGAAGGCGTTGGATGGAGAGGTGGAGGGTCATACTTAACGATGGTATGAATGAACTAGTGGAAGAGAAAGCCATTTTTAAACAGGACGGCAGCAATATGCTAGGCTAACGATGAGGGAGTAGAGAAGGGCTATTGGATAGATGTGAACAGCTGATGATTACAAGAAAATGAGTGAGCATGCATAGACGATTTCATTTAAAGAGACACACACACCAAAATGGAGCGTTTTGAGAGAGCTGGTTTATACAGGGTCACAAACCTCCTCTGGTGCTTGATTCATGTTATATTCTGACCAAAGCACAGCACAGGTGTTTCATTTAGACCACAGTGGGACTATTTGAAAAGGTGAAAAGGGGGGATAATATGTCCTCTTTAATGGTCGAACTTTTGACTGCATTATTAAGTTCATCAAAAATAACTACTGTTGGACAGTTATCTGTACGGTTACAGTTTTGGCTCAGAGTGAGCATGAAATAAAAGCATAAAGATATAACATCAAAAACAGATTTAAGAAAGTAATAACTAAAAGTTTGACAATCAACTTGTTTTAATGGTAAAAATAGATGTTCTGTTCTGTATCACCCCCCTTGCTGCTTTAACACTCGAGCTGACAGCACGCCCGCTGGCTCTGGACACACTCTGGATATGTCTCCAATGATGTGCGGCCTCTGAGCTTCATCGCAACATCCACTGATTGCACGTCCGTACTCTGCTCGATGTGTCACTGCTCAGACAGGAGCAGCCATTACTGTGTTTCTGTGTAGGAGTCTTAGACAGGTCGACTAAATTTTTTTTTCTAAAACAGATGTGGCGATAACAAACCATAAGCTCTTACTCTGCACCTTATGCCTCTGTTAGTCATTATTTCTGTTGCAGGTTACATGACAGGAGTGTGATGTGAAGTGTGAAAGCAAACAAAAAGCCTTGCCAAGTGAATTCATGTGAAGTCCAAACAAAGCTGTGTGAAAGAAGATGTTAGAAAGGGTGTCAGGGGAGCCAATCAGACGAGGAGCTGGACTTATGCTTGACAAATTAATAATAACAAGGTAAATGTAGCAGGAAGCCACAGTGAGAATAAATCTTCATGGCTCATGAAGCTTGTAATTATTGTTCTACTGAAGCCGAGGGAGGGAAAAGTCCTATTTTTAATACAGGTTCCTGTGATTGTTGTCTGCTGCTCAGCCATGCTCCTAGTTATGCAATAACTCTTTGCCTTAAACGCGCAGTATTTGAATTCCACCACCAGGGGGCTCTCAATCAAAACAATAACAAAAGATGATGTTGAGGCTGGTGGGGAATCATGGGAGTGATTCCCATGCTCCAATGGACATGCCAGTTAAACCTGACGCAGCCTGAAAACAACATTATCTCCATTTTCTAGATCAAAATTCTGCCAAGCTGCGCTGCTCTTACACAATGCTATCAGTGCACTGTGCTTGTTTACATCCGGGTTGTAGAGCGGGGAGAGCAGACCCAATAACCAGAGCTACAGCCCTGGATAGTGGCAAGTGGCTGCCTTTCAGTTTGTGCATTGAGGGCCAAAATATGAATAATTCTTTCAACCAAACAGTAATTCTGGTGCCGACTAGCGAGGGTGATGACATGTAACTGTTTAGTCGACTAAATGCGAACCTCCTTAGTCAAAATGAGGCGCTATGAACTGCACTGTTCAGAGGTACTGTGCATGTTTTCTTTTTTAAGTTCTACTAATCCTGCACATTGGTGCTACTCAGCTGTTTTCAGAGCTATGATACAAGGCCATAAATGTATTCTGTCAATGTAGGTGACAAAGAAAGGTTTCACACATGAAGCAAGGTTTAAAGGAAGGTTATTTATTATGAAACAAGGTTAAAATAAAATAAAAATATAATGCATGGATGAGTGTGGTGATATAAAGTGCAAACAAAACAAAACCAGCTGGAGGAGTTCTGAGAGAGAGAGAGAGAGCGAGAGAGAGAGAGAGAGAGAGAGAGAGAGAGAGAGAGAGTTAGTTAGTGGAAGCCACTTAAATAAGCTGAGGCCTGATGAACCTGATGAACTCAGGTGCACCATGTTACCTGATGTCCCCTTTGTGTCTCATGCTGCATTCAGGTGCTGCTCGGGTAATCCAAGTTTCCGAGTTGGGAAGTCGTTCTTCCCACTTCAGTGTGTTCACTTGAATTCAGCTCGGAAAGTCGGAATGTTGTAACAACAGCAAAAAACAGCGCAATGCTACGAAGATGTGTGGAATGAAACTTAAAAGATATATTTGAGCAGAAAGTTGATGTGTAAAACATGAATTATTAAAAAGTACGTTGACATGAACAAAACATATTTTGCCCCCCTTTTTTCCCGTCTCTGAGTTGTTATTCCGACTTGAGCAGGTGTTTATGTGCATTCTCACATCTCAGAAACTTGTTTTTCCAACTTCTTTGACACCACATGAATGCACCATCTGGCTGCTGAGCCAGGAAGTTAAACCAAATCGTCACAAACAAAACAAATAAAACTCATTTTTTAGAAAGTTTAATAACATTCAAATGTAATTCTGTAGGCAGACAATGACTGTCCTTACAGGATTTGGGGGCTTTGACTTTGAGATTAATTTAAAAAAAGGCCACTAAAGTGTGGGAATGCCGCTCTTTTTCTACTCTGAGAAAAAACACTAGATAATTGTCTCTCTTTGGATGACAATAAAAGGCTTATGCATGTTTTTTTCATCAGCATCAGGGTGATGAACTCGTCCATCGTCTCGCTGAAATGGCAGTTGCTCAACTTTTTTCATTTCTGCTGCAGAACTTTTTGTGCAAAAACAAGATGAAGAGACCGCTAATGAGTCATGCTTCAAAATCCCCTCATAGCTGCGTCTGTGTGGTGAAACGTATTAAGTCTCTTTAATCTTGCTTTTGAATTTTTTCTGTGGATTTACAAACAAAATGATGAATGATCTTATTTGAATGAAAGTGAGAGTGTGTAGAGAGTGGCTCATTATTGATGAAACTCCTGCAGAGGTCATGCAGGTGAAAGGTTACAATGGGGCTGCAAACCACATATAGGACTTAGCATTTGGTAATTAAGGGAACAGATATTACAAAAAGGAGAAACATAGCCTGGAGGGATGAGTGCAAGCAGCCATGGATGAAAAAGAAGATCACTTTTTAGGAATACATATCGTAGAACAGCGGAGGAGAATATGAGTGTGATTATTTGACCCCTTAAGCCAATAAGGGGACAATATTAGCTCTTTTCTTGGTGGCTATTGGGTTCTTAAATTTGTTGTTTGACACGGTGCACCTTCAAAATATTTGTCTCCTTTGTTTATTCAGTTACAGATCAATCTGAAAGTGGTCAAATAATGTAAATGTATCAAACTTCTTGTATTCATCGAGCTTGATAATAGCATTTTAGCCTCCTATAAATGGCTGTTGAGTAAATATGTTGGGATTTTCTTGCAGATCTGCAGATTTTTTGTGATTTGAGGGATTTGCTGCAGCCTGCACAAATCACAAGTCCATCAGAATACTGCCCTGTTGGAGGTATCCCGGTTGATATAGACTTCAGCTTGCACATTTTCCTTCATAAAAAAAACAAAACACAGGTGTAAAGGATGAGTGGAAAAAGGTGAGACCTTACTAATAGTACTAGTGGAGGATGACTTACACGTCATAAATGGAGGTTTCGATCCAGAATGGGTGACATGCAACACCTATATTTCTTTTCTCTCCCCCCCCCCTCCAAGAAAAACAAGCGTTTGAGTCTCATTTGAAGCCCGACCTTTGCCTACATCTGCGGCAGGACACAGAGCATAATAAGGCGACAGCTCTACACTCAATTCACATATCACCCCCATACATGTATGTATAGCTCTCGACCCCGCCCACCACATATCTCCCTCTGGAGCTCATCTTCCCTCCATCTATCTATAAGCACTTTACAGCAGTGTGTGTCTGGTAGGTGGACCGAGCAGACGCACAGGGTCTCACACAGAGTTTGAGAGCGTGCAGCGATGAATTGAATTGAATTTAAAGCATCGCTGATCACATGAAGAAAGGAATATATAACTCAGGTTTCTGTCTCCTGTAAGGTGAGTAAAAAAAGATTTGAGTGAAGAAACGTGAGTTTTTTTTTCTTTCATTTTCAAGAAATTGGCACTTTGCAGCACATCACTGTAGCCTATTTAACTCTCCATCCTGAACTTGAATGTTTATTTGTGTTTGTAAAACTGCGAAGGTTTGTGGATATGCACATTATTTTATTATTTTAAACAGAAATACTTTCTCACAATCTTACTTAACAGATACCCTCAGCTTGAAAGTAACCAAGCACATGTTTTTAAAGCATTTTTATGACAATAACTTAATTTTAAGTGATGATTTTAAATAATACAACAGCTTAGTTCAAGGATCCAAAATAATTCATTTTTGGTTTCAGATGTTGCTACATCATTTTGGAATTGAGCTCCATCTCCTCCTCTGTCAAGCGTTTAAATGTGACACAATGTTTGGACCGGAAAGTTGCAGAGAAAAAAGAAAATCTGTGCATCATTTCTGCCAAACCCGCTGATTAAAAGTCAAGCAAGAGACTAATTGCTTGATTTCACATGTTTATGCTATGGACTGTGATTATGTTTCGTTTTCTCAGCTCTGGTTTGAGGCGACTCGCTGTTTTGATTGCAGCGATGTGAGCAATGAGCAAGAAACTACAACTGCAGCTGTGATCAAATATTCTCTTTCTCTCCCATTCTCTGTTTGAAGGCGGAGAAACAGAAAGGTCGCGGAGTGAATCTGTGTCAAACTCTCACAGTAGCCCGGGAAATATACATTAATTAAACACATTTCAACTGGTCATTACTGAGGGATATTACTGGATAGCAAAAAATAACCAAGAAGGTTTTTATGCCTAATCTAGTCTGACAATGAAATCCGACAGCATGAATTCACATGAGATAACATGTAATTATTGATACATCACATGGCATTTATTAGATATACATCAATATGGCCTACTTTGCTCTATTTATACCCCTGAAGAACAACTGTCAAGTTGTGTTATTAAAGTGTATCCACACCCCACAGATAAGGCTAGACAACCTGCATTAGGGTTATTTATTTTTATATTTAATCTTATACTCTGTCTTGTATTCTTCATTCCTCTCTCTCTTTTTCCCTCCCAGGCGGATAGTTCCTCTTCATTTCATACACTTACGTTTTTACATGAATAGTCCATGCGATGCACGTCTGCACAACAAGGATGAATGCAGTCAGATGGGACCACCCTAGGGAAATTTCCTACTGTCATCGCAAACTTTACACAATTTGTTGTGGTTTTTCAGCACTCAAGGGACCCCTACTGACCAGGGGGGCCCCAAGCAATTGATTGCCTCGCCTATTGACAAGCAGCGCCTGTTTCCAGCTTGTATTGTCCCCAAAACAATGCAAAAAAAATCAGATTCAAAAACACAAAAATGGGTAAAACTATAAATAGGAATCATCAAGAAGTAAGAATTTAAAAGGACATCTGAGAATAACTGTTAAAGAAATCGATGAAGATCTACAAAAATATAACAGTTGCACAAGTTTAAAAAATCGTCACCAGTCAATAAAAACCCAAATAACCCCCCTGATTGCTGGATTCAGCTGACTGATGAAACCAAAGCTCTGACCCCACTCTCTTACAGAACAGATTTTTCATTCTGGACACCATGTTCTGTATCAGAGAGTGTGTGAGGGCATGCACTTGACTGAATCAACCAGCCCACTTGAATGAAAAGCACAAAAATTGGGGTATTGATTTTTTGATGGGGTTATATTGTGGAATGTAATTACCAATTGATTCTATCGTGTGCTCTGCAGGATTGCACTCTCATTTGGAGGATGTGTAATGGTGTGCTGCTTTATAATTGGTTGTTTTTGGTCGCGGATATTATTAGAAACAAGGCAGAGGACACACTCACAAGAGGGTCTTCACCTGCTTGTCTCTCTTTCCAGATATAAAGATGACCCAGAGTCTAAACTCTACCTGGGAGGGCCTGAATCCGCTCAATTTCTCAAACCAGGAAAATCTTCTGTTCCACCAGAACATCACCTATGTCGACTTCTACCTCCACAAGTCCTCTGTGGCTGTTGTCTTCACCGTCTCCTACCTGCTCATCTTTGCGGTGTGCATGGTGGGAAACGGGGTGGTTTGTTTCATCGTGCTGCGGAGCAAGAACATGCGCACGGTCACCAACCTGTTCATCCTCAACCTCGCCATCAGCGACCTGCTGGTTGGCATCTTCTGCATGCCCACCACGCTGGTGGACAACATCATAACAGGTCAGAATGTATGAGCTTTTGTTTGGGGTTTAATTTTAACTTTCCTAGAAGTAATCATAAACTGAGATTGTTCCTTTATCGAGTCTATAAGAGGTAATTTTGATGTTTGCTTGACCCAAAAGAATATTTGTTTCCCAACCACAACCCTATTTCCTAAATAGGTGGGACCTAAAAATAAAGCCCTGAATGTGATGATTTGCAAAACATTTGAACCCATATTCAAATATGTTTTAAGCATATCAAATGTTGAAAATGAGAAATTTCATTGTTTTTGGAAGATGATATGGCCTTTTTTTTCCAGCAACACTTTTCAAAAAAGTTAGGACCATATCATTTGTAGCATCACTTCTTCTTTTTAACAACACTCTGTATGCATTAGGGAACTGAGTAGACCAATGTCTCTACTTTTGAAAGGTGAATGGTGCCCCATTCTTGCTTGGTGTTATTTTCAGCTTAAACAGTTATGGTTCTCTTTTGTCATATTGTATTCTTAAGAATGCTCCAATCATTTACAAAGTCAATGGCAATGGTTGGGCGATGCAGAATACCCAAATTGCGCAAAATGCAAATCGAGCAAATATGCAGATTTATGCAATTTGTGTGTTACTGGAAGATATTTAACTTTGCATGACACTGCGTACCAAAAACCTATTGGGGTTGAGATTTTTCAGACGTCTTGATATTGAATCAGAGACGATTGATCCCACCTCCATTGGAAAAACGAGCATTTTTAAAGTGATAAATCTGCATCATAATGTAGTTACATAACAGGATATCAAACCATGCATCCGTCAGCCTCAAGTTGCCACAAGCTACAGTAAAGCTAATCAAGATACAGTCCCTGGAAAGGGAGGAGAAATTTACTCTACACTTCATGGCGTATACTCAGGCATTACGGCATTTAGTTTACCATCGTATTTGGGAGGACGAGATTTTTTTGGGGGGTTTTGTTAAATCAACACAAATGATCTAGTGTACACAACATGTTATCCAATAGTCCAATAGTCCAATATTAATAATACTTTCAATCAGAACACACCTTGAATGAAACTATTAATGCAGATTGTTTCCCTTTATGTTTTAAAATTTGCTTTTTTTATTTCCTGCAGGATGGCCGTTTGGCAGCGTACTGTGCAAGCTCAGCGGGATGGTTCAAGGGATATCAGTGTCAGCGTCTGTGTTCACTCTGGTTGCAATCGCTGTTGACAGGTAAGGGGCAAAAGAGCGCGACTGGTTATAATGTGCTTGAGCGTGTGTGTTTTCTTCCTTGGAGATTTACTCTGCTTTATGCACTCCCTTTTAATCCGTGTGTGTGTCAGGTTTCGCTGCATCGTCTACCCTTTCAAGCAGAAGCTGACCATCCCCACTTCAAAGCTCATTATTGTGGTCATATGGGTCCTGGCTGTGTCCATCATGTGTCCCTCGGGGGTGATGCTGCAGGTCACAAAGGAGCACAGGGTGAGGATAATCCTCGGGCACAATGACACCCAGCCCTTCTACTGGTGCAGGGAAAATTGGCCCAATCAGGAGATGAGGAAAATCTACACCACAGTCCTCTTTGCTAACATCTACCTCGCTCCCCTAAGCCTCATCGTCATCATGTATGCTCGCATCGGCTTCACACTTTCCAAGACTACTATTCCTACGGGGAGTGGAAGTGGAAGCGAGTCTGAGAAGGGCGCTGGCAACAACAAACCGACCATGGAGGGTCGTCAAACAATTTCAAAGAAGAAGACCCGCGTGATCATGATGCTGCTGGTCGTGGCTTTGCTGTTCATCTTGTCCTGGCTTCCTCTGTGGACGCTGATGATGCTGAGCGACTACGCCAGCTTGACGGAGCACCAGTATCGCGTCATCAACATCTACGTGTATCCGTTCGCCCACTGGTTGGCATTCTTCAACAGCAGCATCAACCCCATCATCTACGGGTTCTTCAATGAGAACTTCCGCCGAGGCTTCCAGGCCGCTTTCAAATTCCAGCTGTGTTCCGTCGGCATCGAGCGGCAGAAGATCTACTCCCATCGGATCCGAGGGAACGCGGTGCTCCCGTTCCAACCGCCCGCCTTCCATAGGTTGGGTTCAAGAGGCGGCTCGGTGTTAGCGAGGAATGGGAATTGCGCGGGACAGGAGGGAAGTAGCTTGCATGGCAGAAGCGATAACAAAGAACATGACCTGATTATGGAGGCTGTGGAACAGGCGTTCCAGATTTGACAGACTGAGAGAGACTTAATATCCCACAAGCTTTCAAGGGACCTTTGAGTTGTGTAATGCCGTTTCAAGGACGATGAAAAATCCAAGGCAAATTCATGATGAAAATGTGCATATTTGTCCCAAGTGAATGTAGTTGCAAGCTCTGCATCATTTGTTCCATAATTGAAGCCATAACCTCCCACTTAGCCCTACCACTTTGAGGATAGGATGTGCCAGTTTTGTGGTGGGGGGGACTGAGGTGTGGTGGCCATCTAACCCACAAAACTGACCTCAAAATAAAGTGTTTTTCTGAAGCGGACTCCAAATATAGTGGGAGAAGAACAACTCACCAAAATGGGGCATGGGAGAGGACAATTAAGTGATTATGCTCCATGCATGTTTGTTCAATGCAAATGTATCTGCTACCCCTTTATCATCTGTCATAGATTGTGCCTCTTGGCCATACCAATTTCAGCTTACCCTTCGTTATGAGAACTCCATGGAGAGAGGTTGTCCTGGTTCTCTCTGGGACTGTGGATTAGGGAAATGGCAAGTGAGCGATTAAACTTCATGCATTGATCAACGCAAATGTATTTACAAGCTCTTAGTCATTTGTCATAGGTCGTATCCCAATTCTCCCACAAAGTCGTACCATTGCCCACTACCCTTCATTTGAGTGCTTCAACATCGAGAATTGAGGGGTAGTGATCATCTTACCCTCCATCAGTCACAAGAATTTATAGTTTTCAGAAGCAGGCTTCAAACGTCGATGGACAAGAAAGCGCCCACAATGCTTTGCTGAGTGAGGGACGGAAAAAGAAGCTCTGAGTCATCTGTTAGGTTAAATCCCAGTTCTCCCAGCTAGCGGTACCATTTTACACTACCCTTTGTTTGAACTGCAGTGGGGTGGTGGTCATCCTATCTTCTGTCAGGTCTAGATAATGGTAGTTTCAGAAGCACACTGTAGATGTATGGTGAATAAATGCTTTGCTAATTGAGGCAATTGAAAATGACTTCATGCATATCTCCTCAACGCTAATGTATCAGCTAATGGCCTAACCATTTAAGCAAACGCTTCATTTTGATAGTCCAGAGGGTGAAAGGTTGTCCTGTTCCTTTCTGGGATTGAGGATTAGGAAAATGACAAATACAGTATGTGACAAAACTCCATACCACCACAGAAGATAAGTAGTTCAATTTCTTTTGGGGGGGCTTTGTTGCAGTAGTCTCTATACCTCAAAAAGGGTTTCGATGGAGTGTTTTTACCAATATGTTGTGATGAAAGTAAAAAATTCCAAGAGTGCTTTGCAAACTGAAGCGGTGTAAAATGGAAAGCACCTTTAGTGGAGGGAAAAAACATATCTTTGCACTTCATATAGCAAACATTTTAAAATTGTCTGCAAAATGTCAATGTTGATGCTTCATGTAAATAAGGACATGTGAGAGTTTCATTTTCATATAAATCAAGCTTAAATAATACGACCTCAAGAGCCCATACAGCTTAAAGGGCACCCACCCCAACAGAGGGTGAGACCTCGATGAAACATCCTTGATTGTTGATTATAGTGTTCATGGTAAAGAAAAACACACAAGGGGGGTTAAAGGGCTGTAAATCTTGGTTTACGGGTTTTCTTTAACATAATATATCATTATGTCAGTCAAGCCTATTGTAGATCAGAATGTAAAAGACCTTGATGCAACATTGTCCTGAAGGTGATGGCATTCCTGTGAGATCCATATACAGCATACTGATCAGGCTTTTATTTATTTAAGATAAAAAAGTTAGCACAGCTCTCATGAGTAAGGTGTAAAGCTCTGTGATGAAACTCTGCCAGCTTTGTTATATCACTACGTGTGCTCCAGTGCCCTGAGGCCTTTATAGCATGTCGACAATTGTGATGTGCACACTAACGAGAGACTCACAGAGCCTCTCTTTGCCCACTTTCTCATATGGAAAACTGACATGTTAACACTTGAACACTTTGCTTTGCAACGCGTTGCATGTCAAGTGGACACTGGCGGAACTGCAGGACTTTGCTCTTCCACATCGGCTTTTTTTTTAACATTGCTGCTTGGATTCCCATGATGGCAGTGTTTTTATGTATTGTCACTAAGTCAATATTTCTGAAGCTATTCCGCATTGTCTTTATCCAATGCAGTTACATCTTAATACGTAATGTTCCTTGACATGTGATGTGTTATTGCAGATGTTGAAGCATTTGCCAATTATCGAAAGCATCATTTCAGTTTATTTGTATTTGTCATTATGTGTTCAAATGTCATTTCATTTGTGTTTGTGTTCAACATTATGCTAGCTGAGGTTGTAATGTGATTGTGCCAAAATCTTAAAGGCGGCCTGTGTCGTTTTTCAACACTAGTAGCGCCATGGAGCAATGTTTACAAAGGTCAGGTTCCTGTTTTGGTTTGTTTCTCATAAGGAGTACTTGATTTGATAAAAAGTTGTTTTCACACTGTTCAGCTGAGATTGTAGTTCCCAGAAAAAAAAATACAGCCCCTACATTTCCTGTGAAAGCATCTTATATACGGCTGCCAAAAGTAGCAGTCAAGCAGATCAGCATGCAGAGTGAGAATGTTAGGATATAGTCAGGAAGTCAGGATTGATCAAAAGTATGGACAAACGCAAGATTTCGTTTCTCGTTTGAAATCCACTTCTTGGAGCGCCGGTAGCCTGGTGGTTAGTTTGCACACTACATGCACAGAGGCTATAAGTCGTTTAAAGCTGGTCGCCCAGTGTCCAATCAGACCTGTGGCTCCTTTCCCACGTGTTATTCCCAACTCTCTCTCCCAAATTCTGAATCTATCCACTGTCTTGTCTCTAAATACAAGCATTAAAAGCCCAAAAATAAAACATAAAAATAAAGAAAGTTGAATTTCTATAACTCACCTGCCGAACAGAATGAAATACATCAGGTATTGAACGTAACTTACCTGACTTTTCAATCTGAATCATGTTACTGCAGGGGGCTTTGAAAGATGGGGCTGAAAATATTGGTATAGCCTAAATAATATCTGTAGAAGAAAACACAATTTCCTAGATCTAAGTGTGCAGGGTGATGTTTCTCCTCAACAGGGTGAACTAATCAATGAAAGGTAACTTTAGACATTACCAAGCCAATGTGAGAACAAACTTATTTTACTCTATTAATAACTTGGAATAGGGTAAAACAACTTAGCAAAGGGCAGGGGAAAAAGGCAAAAAAACGATTCCCAATAACCTGTATTTTTAAAAAGTGGGTATTTTTTAAATGTTTGATGAGCAGAGAAATGCACTTTTGTCAGTTTGTTTCAGCTTGATGTGGCGCCATTTTGGTGACAGAGAACTCAACATGGCGCCTGTTGTCATTGACAGCCCGCTGCTTTAAGAGTATTATATGAACACATGATATGTTATGGGGTCGTTATGAGTGTGTGAGTCATGATACTGGTTTTGACCGACTTATTGTATGCTGTGCCTGTGCCTGTGGATGCTTTTTGTCCTCGCAGTGTGTTAGTGAAAACGTCTCATTGGGATTCATGTCATTCTTTAGTCAGGGGTAAATATTGGCCTACATGTAGGGGGGGTAATGGAAACACCCCTCGATGACACTTGAGATAACAGCCTCAGGGATTAAAGCAAAGAAGAATACCTCACTGAGTTCATACAGAGCTCTTTTCTCTGGATTATGTTGGTGCTTTGTTTCTGTTCTCTTCAATTATTTGCTATCTGCACATTTAGCTCAATAAACAGACGGGTTTGTTAAGAAGGATGTTGGGAAATATGGAAATTGTCAACAGCTGTATGAATGAATACTCTGTACCTCATGTGTCTTCATAAACACAACCTGTTTCATATGTGTAGAATAATATATGTATGACCTGATATATATTTACCTCATTAAAGGATCAATCTGTAAGATATTTACTGAATTTAGATGACCTTACTATCTGATCAGACATTTAGGAAACATGCTATGTTGAAGTGCTGGCTTCTCTGACAACAATGCAGCAGTCAGTATGTCCTCCTTCTAACTTTAGATTCTGATCCTGAACGCTCTGGATTTGTTTGGACCAGAGAAGGTAGGCGCTTTTAAGGCGACCCCCAAAACAGTCGTTTTGGATGCCCCTCTGTTTGCCAGATATGAGAGCAGTTATCAGGTCAAACCATCAGATGTTGCAGTGATGGAAGCGGTCAAGAGAAGTGGTTCAGATAGAAGTGATTGTACCCGACCTAAAAAGCCTCTGCATGTTTCTAATAAGCTCCACGAGCAGAAACGTGCTCAAACTAGGATCAATATTGGAGATGCTTTTGAAAAATGGAGAGAGGTTAGAACACAGAAAGGTTTACAGACCCATGCAGAGCTGGATAAACACTGAAGCTTTGGCATCCACCACATGGTGACCTGTTTGAGCATCGACTCTAGATAGGAGGGGGGGAGACAGCTCTCTACAATGTTTTGAATGTGTACTGCAGTACTTATTTTAAACACTAGTATCAGAGTTACATACTGCTCCTTTAATGAACGTTTGTCTACTATATTAATATGTTCTTGTACAACTGTGATTAATATACTGTACTCTCCATGTTCTTTGATGCTTTTAAGCAATGTGCAGACTTTGCTCTTATCAAATAAAATTGAACAGTACCAAGAATCTGTTGCAAAATCTGTTTGTAATTATTAGTCTCACATGTAACTCAGTAGGCTGCATGGTGGTGCAGTTCTTGTAGGTTCCAGGTTTGGATACCTGTCAGACATAGCCGTTCTGTGTGGAGTTTGCATGGTATCCCTATGCATGTGTGGCTTCTTCTCACAGTTCAAAGACATTTTCTAAACTTGATTCTTAAACTAGCTCTAGGTGTGCATGTGAGTGTGCCTGGTTGTTAATCTCAGTTGACACTGTGATTGACTGCCAACCAATCCAGGATGTACCCAAGGTGTCCAGTATAGATAATGGATGGATAAATGGATGCCAATTTTCTCTTTAAGAAATGAAGCCAATGGGTAAGAACAAAAAAAAAAAAT